AATCCAAAAGGATCTCGAATCCCAGCGCCATGTCGCCATCGGACATGGGCGTTGGATGCAGCGATGTCAACAATCGACTGGTCAGTTCCCGTTCCCGCGGGCCCTTGTCCATGGCCAATGAGATTGCCTTTTTGACAATCTCTCGGTGATACTCTTGACATGACAACTCGAGTAGGGTGCGAATGACTTCATCGGAATCACCAGAATCAAAGTATTCCTTGACGCAATTGGCCACTTGAATTTTGAATTCGCTGAGCGTCAACATGGGTCCATAGATGGCTTTGGATTCAATGGGATCGTATCCACGAGGACCTTTCTTGGCAGTGCTGACCCCATTTTCCGTGGTCAAAATGTAGCCCTGTTCTTCTTCGTTATACAAAGGATCCTTCTCATCAATTGCCGGTCGATAATCTGGATCCATGGGTTCCAAATTCCCTGGATGATCTGCGAACCGATGTCCCCGATGCGGATGTAAGTTTAGTTTGCTGGTTGTTGTGCGCTCACAGAGAGAAGGGGTTTGGTGTTCCTTAACGCACAAAAATGATGACAACTCACACATGCATGCCCACTCAAAAATCGTCAAAAATACTAGACCATGGTGGCATCCTTCTTGGCACGAGCCGTCGTGGACGAAGTCTTACCCCCTGCCTTTTTGTCAGACCAAAACAACAGTCGACCAGGAGATCCAGTCATTGAAAAGGCCGTCACGTTGCTGAGTCGGGAACATTGCAACGCCCGTCTAGAAAAGGTCTGGGGACCTGGAGACGGACGTCCCGTGGCGGAGCTGAAACAAGAAATGGATCAATTGCTCCAGGAATACCTCATGTCGCGAGAACTGGATGAAGCGGCACGATGCGTCAAGGAACTGGGCGCCACACACTTTCATCACGAATTAGTCAAACGTGGTGTCAAGATTGCCATGGAGTTGGATGGAAATGCCGCTCAGAATGCGGCCGCTCCCCATGATTTGAGCAACATGGATGCCATGGCGGCGCTGTTTGCCTTTTTGGTACGGAATGCTATTGTGTCGGAATATCAGGTCACCAAAGGGGTGGCACGCTTGCATTCCTTGCTGGATGATTTGTCGTTGGATGTCCCGGCAGCGCCCAAGCTTTTGAAAGAGTTCGAAGTCATGGCGGAGGAAGGAGGATGCTTGGTCAAGCCGCGTCCTAATCCCAATGGAGGAGTAGCAACTGCCAATGGCGAAGCACCCAAGAATGGTGTTGTCGTAGCTGCAGAAGCCTCCTAGAGGAGAGCAACGAACCAATACGACACGACATTCTAGATGACGCAACAAACTTGGTCTGAAAATTGCATATTCCTATCTGCTGTTTTTGGACGCGACGATGATACATTTTCTGCTGCTTACACTTGGAAGAGTTCCTCCAATAACGACACCTTTGCACGAGATATTACCTTTTGGCATGCGCTTTCTTTGCCCAGCCTTCTGCACACCTAACTAAAACACGTTGTACAGTACATGTAGATTTTATGCAAGTAACAGGATCTTCCGTTTCTCAAGACTAGACTACTGCCACCGAACGCCTCTCCTTCGATGCTCACAAAACACTCTAGCTACGGTAGCTACACGTAACCACAGCCATACACCATGAAGCCTCAACATGGTTTGACTGGAGACTGTCATTAATGCGCTGTTGTCTACAAGGGTAGAGTATCCTTTTGGCGGCACCAGTACCAGGTACAAAGTGCAGTGCCTTCTTTGTGCCGGTGGCAATGTTTGGTACATGTATGTGAAGGGGGTTTAGAGTAGGGGTTATCGAGTACCGGTAGGATGTTGGACGTCACAGGCCGAAGAAATGTAAAACACACACAAACATGTAAACAAACAAATCGTCTAAACTGAAAAGTTGACGACCTCATAGTTGTTGTTTTGAAGGGACACTGTTTGGGAGACGGACGGAGAATCCAATGCGAGGACATAGTCAGCAGGCTGTCCCCGGTGCTGATAGGCAATCTGATAAAAGCCATCCTCGTCGGTGACACCATTTCCAACCTCGCTGCCTCCTGATGTCAACGAAACTGTCACGCCAACAACCGGATGTTGCAGCTCGTCAAGCACAAAGCCAGCCACACCAGGGTTATCTTGGTACACGTTCGTGTTCTCAAGGGTGGTGCTACTAGATTGAAGGTCAGGGCCAATCATTGAGAAGGTCATGTCGCAATGGTTCCTCAAAACAAGTTCGCCAGAGGTGGCATCCACTGCAGTGCTGGAAGCCTGGTCGGGCAGGTCGTGTTCCGTTAGGCCCAGAACCAGACGAACCACAAGATGGACAAATCCAGTGCTTGGGATAACCATTGATACCTGGACGGACTTGGTAGAACCACATTCTCTGGTGCTGTAGTCATCCAAGGTAATCTCAGTCGAATCTTCAAAGAATGGCTGATTTCCATCCTGGACAAAACAGGCAGGCCCATCGACCTCTTCAGCCGCCAAGTCCAACCAATCAAAAGCCTGAATTGGGCTGCTCACATCCTTCGTTACGAACGGATAAGGAATCTCCAACTGAAAGGTGGCAGAGTCACCAGCGGTTCCGAAATGAAAGATGTTGTATGTGAACTGACCTGGATTCGACGCTCCAAAATGGTAGTATGGAAAGTTGAATCCATCGCTGTCTTCTTGGGGAGGATTTCCGTTGTTGTTCCCTTCTCGGAGAAACACGGTGTGGAACTGTTGGTTGACAGACCCCAAGTCAGTATCAAAGAGGCATAGAGAACCACTGGCGACGCTATCTGGTTTGGACGGGATCTCGACAATCTTCTGGGTGCAAGAAGCGGAATTCTGCGCTTCATCTTGTGCTACCCATGTTCGAATGTTGATCTCGGGGCAATCCCCAGCAATGCCATCGTCCGTATCGTCCGAGTACGAAACATCCGTGACTTCGCAGTTGTCTGCACTGATTGGCTCGCCAGTCTCGGATGGATCTACATCGTCGCACACTCTTATTGTTTCGGCGGGACATGTAATAACAGGGTCTTCTCGATCTTCAATCGTCACATCGAATCCGCAGGTTGCAAAGTTGCCATTGGAATCGGATGCCTGAAATCTGTTTGCCGTTGTACCAACAGGGAAGAAAAAGGGGTTGTCAACATCCAAGGAGGGGCCAATATCCTGGTCGGTAAGCGTTCCTTCACAATTGTCTTGGCCAACCGGAGGGGAATATTGATAAAGAGCAGCGCACAACCCTGGATCGTTGCCCTGAACAGTAGCCAAGTCGGAACACGATATGGTGGGGGCTTCCACATCAAGCACGGTCACAGAAAAGCTGCAAGAGTCCTGTAGGCTCACCCCATCGATGACTTCAAACGTATTCAACGTGGAGCCGACTGGGAAGGTGGATCCCGAAGCAAGACCACCTGTTTGAGTTGTGGAGCTACCACAATTATCCTCACCCAAAGGAGTTTCAAAAGTAACTGATGCGCTGCAAAGGCCCACTGTGTTGTTGACAAGATCCACCGCAGGACATGTAATGGTAGGAGGTGTATCATCTACTACAGTGATTTTTGCAGTGCAGTCGTCTTGGGCGCCCTTGTCGTCCACAACTGTAAGCGTCACGGTGGTCTCACCGATACCGAATGGACCTTCAGGTGACAAGGAAAGGTCAATCCTTGCTCCTTCTGGATCGAACGAGCTGTCGTCAATTACTTCAACTCCTGGACCTGCTTGGCATGATGAATCCGCAGAAAGGCTAACATCCTTGCATCGGGCTTCCGGTGGGGAATTCGGACTAAGGCTCAGGATCGGGCCGTCAGCTCCACCGACCGTAAAAAGTGTTGGGAAACGAATAGCACCCTTGCAAATGGGCTTACTGTACGCATCAATCAACCCATAAATCCCTGTAGGTTCAAATTGAGCAATAGTCTGAAGCGTTTCCAAATGCATGTCTCCATTATCCCACCCTTCGTTCTCCGCCATTTCCATGAGCATGTTTTGAGCCCATCTCCTCTTGATGTACGAGGCGTCGTTCTCGCTGAGCCTTGCATCAATCTCGTCGGAAATATCTTGGGCTGTCATCGCAGCAAAATCGTACTGAAATATGGCGAGATAGTTTTCCATGGCATAGTAATGTATGGTCGATACGTCGAGCGAAAAATCAATGTTTTGAATGGTTCCCTTGACTGTACGAATGGCTACCTTGGCCTTCAACAAGTCTTCCACGTTATCTGAAAACCGATTCAGCCGCTGAGCAAACCTCAACATGGCCTTCCCCGCCCGCGTTGTCGAACCGAAGAACTTTCCGAACATTGCGATGCCGACTCTTCCCGCAGCAGATCCGGCCGAGCTCATGCCCAGTGTAGCAATGTTGGCAGCAACGACTATTGGGGCCACACTGAGAGGAGGAAGAAAAGCCACAAGTGTGAGGCACCGAGGGCATTAGTGTCAAACAACCGGATGGCAAACTTTCAGATGATAGTCCAAACACGGTCATTGATGCGAGAGATGCCTCAAGCTCAACTCTTGGGACTCGCACACGTACATCTGGTTCGCTGTCTCAATTGTGCACGTATCTTGGGAATCAGCACAGCCAATACCGCAGTTTGCCTCCCCATGGTCACACAGTTGCCAACAGAAGTGGCCCACACCAACGAATCCTCCTATGCAAGGAGGATAGCAAAGGCCGCCATCTTGCACAGTTCCGTGGCGACAGATCATTGATGTGGGATCGCCAATGTGAATGTGAATGCGACAAGAAGAGAGGACGGGCCACCAAGGGCTGTAGCCCTCAGCCTCGCAATTGGGAACATCTGGCGAGCAGATACAACAACCCGAGGGATGAAAACCTGGGTCGCACTTTTGATACCAGAGGCCCCAATCGTATTCGCAGTTCCCTTGTCCATACGCGGACTCGCAGCCCGAAAGTATCTGTCCAACACCACGGCCATAAGGGGCTCCTCTGCGGCAATAGATGCCGTCATCGATCCATCCGGTCTTACAATGCTGGTGGCAGTCAAAGCCAAATCGATGAAATCCAGACGGGCAATGAGAATAACATAGTGCGCCAATCCTTTCCTTTCCGCTTGGGCATCCACTGAGGGCTTCTCCCCAACCTCCTAATGGACCCAATCCAAAGATCAACACAAGAGAATATGAGAACAAGCAAGTGCGTTAGCTTCGCGAGACAAACACCGACTTACGAAAATATTTGTCTCTGAAACAATACGGTGTCCTGTCCTGTTCGATTTTATCTTTGATCCAGTTCAAGATGGCGGTTTCCACTCCTCCACCGCGAGGGAAGGACGGGTCCTGGCTGGGATAGACGTACAGATCGGGTAACGCGAGGGCGTCAAAGTCCAAATCTGGGTCAACCGGAATGAACCTGCACCCACTTTGTGGATCGCAAGTGTCTATAGTCTGCGTGTCTCCGTCATTGCAATCGATCAATGTTGGAACACAGTTTCCATCACTGTCAAAGCTTTCTTGTGTGCATGCGTCTTGGTCATCACAGATGTGGACACAACCAGTGGATGGATCACAGCTATCTATTGTGTTTGGGTCTCCATCATCGCAATCCACAGGCGAAACCTGGCATGTCTCTGAACTTGGGTCCCAATATTCTGTAGTACAAGCATCTTGGTCGTCGCACTGGTGGACGCAGCCAGTGCTTGGGTCACAACTGTCGATGGCAATGGGGTCTCCGGAGTCACAATTGACGGGCACAAAGCTACAGGCATTGTTGTCCCAAGAGTCCACAGTGCACGCGTCATTGTCTTCACATACATACTCGCAGCCAAACTCGGTGTCACAGGTATCAATGGTTAGGGGATTTTGATCATCACAGGAAATGGCTTCATTGACGCAGTAATCGTCGTTTGGGTCTTCAGGGGTTCCATTGTCATTGATGGAATCTTCAGTACAGGCATTTTGGTCATCACAACTGGTGTGGACGCATCCCGCGGATGAATCGCATGTGTCAATGGTCAGTGGGTCGCTATCATTACAATCTACCGCTGTCACGACGCAGACATTGCCTTGGATAGTTCCAACGGAGCAAACATCATTTGGATCATTGCAAGCGGTGTGGATGCAACCACTGGAGGGATCACAGGTATCCACCGTGTTGGAATCCCCGTCATCACAGATTTTAGCCTTGAAGACACATTCATCATCATCTGTCGTTTCGGATCCGTGGGTCTCAATGTAGTCGAACACTTGACATTCGTCCGGCCCGATGCATTCCGTGTGGATGCAACCAACATCACCGTCACAAGTATCAATTGTCTCAGCTCTTCCATCGTCGCAGTTCAGCTGACGGCAGTTGAACGCCATCAGGGAACGAAGTCGCACCCTTGAAGCCATCGAGGGGCGAAGCGCCAGCAAGAGCACCAAAAGATTCGTCAACGAGATCGTCATTGTCATCGATCCTTGAATGGGAAAGCCAAAAGCACAAGTCAAAAGCAAAACAAAATTGTCTCACAAGTAAGTTAGGAGCGATTTGGTTTTGCTGATGATTTAGTTTTGCTCAAGAAGATTGTGAGAGCAGAGTGAGAGATGATGTGAAAGTGGAATGGAGTTGCGGTTCCTCAAGAGCTTCACCAAAACGTGAAGGTTGTACCGGTACTCTGTACCGCTACATGTACTATGGTACCGCTCGGAACCCTTTATTTTTCGGATGCTACAGAACAGGAGCAATGCTCAAGGATTTAAAAGGCCAGCATTGCTCATTCCAGCTAGGATCGGCTGTTAAACATTGCGTGAAATATATGCGGACCCGATCTATGCAAGTGCCAGCAATGTTAAACATTACTCGTGATCTCCTTCCAAAATCCAGGATTGCAAAACTGATTTCCTTACAGTCTTCAGAAAGGTTCACTGAAACGCAAGCGCAGTCTCGCTATTACAGTTTTAGCCATGCATATCTACCGGTAGAGGTATCGTCTGTGGATTCCGGTACAGAAATCTTGATTATCTGTACATTGCAGTAGTAGTCTACTTTAAAATAGTACGATACATGCAGTAGTATCAGCTTTATTAGAGTACTGTAAGTAAGTTGTACATGTACTCGAGTACTCGAGTATTCCAAAGCGGGGATGTGCGCCGATGTGCGATGTGCGGGCCCGGGGAGCTTCACTCTTCTGCCAAAGTTCTCTTCTTGCAGGAGTCTAAGTACTACCAGGTAGCTACACGGTACCGTACTAGACTACTGCTTTGAGGATCTTTTGAAGCTGCCAAGTCTTGACAGGCCCGAACACCCCCCTGCCCCCTGTATCATTACTGGTACAGTAGTCTACATGTATTATAGTTAGGTAGGTGATGAACAGCACAGAAGTGTGACACAACGAGCCGCCCTCAATAATCCGCGCGCGACCAACCGTCATTGGAAAGCTCATTGGATTCAATGGATACTCGTACCGTACCGGCTGGGAGGGCTTGTACTACATGTAGTAGCTGCAGCGTTTTGTTTTAGCTGTTCGTGTTATTAGCTATGGGGCTTTGTTTTGACATGGAGACTGGACTGGACTGTCCATCAACTCGTCCCATGAACTGGCCCTCCCAAGCCAAGGCACCCACCCCAGCGATTTCATCGGGTCTGGATGCTGGGAGAGCGATTGAATGCATGCTGCCTGGTGCCCAGTTGGATCCTTGGCTGGGCGGCTGTTTAGGCATGCCCTTTGACGGACGTCTGCGAACCACCGAACTGGACACGTACAACAATCCAATCATTGGTGTGTACGCTCCCAGCCTGATGAGCTTTCTTTCAATCTTGTACGCTGAACCACTCAATGGCCCATTCTGCCCTCATCAACGCGCTGGGGACGGGCATTGGCCAAGGGATAATATAAAAAAATGGCGCAAAGATTGGGTTCGAGGTTTAGTCTGTCCGATGTCCTGCTGTCGTTTAGTCATGAACGTGAATAAATCCCTCCACCATAGATCCCGATCTCCATCATTTTCTTGAATCTTTTGGTTGTTGTTCACCATGTCGGACCAGGAAGACGATGACGACAAGTCCTCCTCCATGGAAGAAGAAGAAGAATTGGTGACGACAGCTCCTTCGTTGTACCAACGTCCCTCTTATTATCGTCAGACCCGCAAGGGCAAGATCATCAAGACCGTCCAAGAACGCTATTTGCGAGATGATTTGGGCTTCGGCAATTACTTTTGGGATCCTCTGCAGGCGCGACGCCGCAAGGGTGCCGAAACGACCGTCGGGAAACCAAAGGCCATTGACACTGTGGAACAGTTAGTATCGTTGATGCAAGGAACGGTCAAATCAGATGCTGGCGATGCGACAACACAACCGTTGGTCCTACTCGTCTGCGACACGAACGTGCTGTTGCACAATTTGGATGTTCTGATTCAAGCATTGACGGGAGACGGAGCTCCGGGAGGATTGACGTTGGTCTTGCCACAAACGGCACTGCAGGAATGTCGTGCGCAGCACATGACACTCTACGATCAAGCCGTCGAATTGTTGCGGAGTGTCGGTGGAACCCAACAGGCTCATTATTGTGGCATTTTCTTTCCCGATCAGCATCATGTGGAAACACAAATTTCAACTACAAATACGACAACGACAACGAGTATGAATGACATTAATGATGCGCGGCTGCGACTCGTGGCGGAATACTTTGGCAAACATCTCCAAAGGAACAACAACAGTTCCAATTCGACCAGAGTCATTTTCTTATCGGATGATCAAGACTCTCGGCGAAAAGCCAAGATGGAACAACCGACCGACAAACCGTATTATGAAGCACTCAATGTCAAACAATTTGTGGGACAATTGGAAAAAGCCAATCCTGGTTTGTCATTAATGGACTATGTCGCCAATTACGGCACCACCCAATCCCAATCCCCACACGACTCTACTACTACTACTACCAAACACTACTTTCCAGCGCATTTGCCCGCCGACGAAGTATCCCGAGGCGTCAAGGCGGGACGCTTTCATAGAGGAGTCTTTCGATCCATTGATACCTTTGTCGAAAAGGGAACCGATCAAATGGGAGTTGTTACCATTCGGAAAGGAGACGAGCGAGTTGCCATTACCATTCCGGGATGGCAACCACGCAATCGAGCCATGGATGGAGATGTCGTTGCCGTGGCATTGTTGCCCGTCGAAGAATGGTTGCCAATGTCCTCTTCGGACAACACCAATACTACTAAAACGAAACCTAGCAGTGCTGGAATCTCACAAGAAACAGCCGAACCGACACACAGCGAATTGGCCAACGTCCCGGATACCTTTCAAGATGCGGCACAAACGCTACGACCCACGGGAAAAGTCGTGGGCATTTTACGACGTCACACCAATCTCTATTCGGGATCACTGTGGGAACCACACAACAGCAGCAATACAATCGCTGAACATCTGCCACAACTAAAAGATTGGCAACAGGAACATGCCGATGGATCCACCACCTGTATCTTTTTACCCGTCGATGCCAAAGTACCACCCCTCCTTATTCGAACAACACAACGAGATCGATGGATTGGACAACGATTGGTCGTCACGCTCGATTCCTGGCCGGCATTGTCGCCACTACCGTGTGGCCACTATACCAAGACACTTGGCAAAATTGGAGACAAGTCGGTCGAAACACAAGTGCTCTTGTTGCAACATCACATTCCTCATGAAGCGTTTCCGGCATCCGTATTGGCGTGTTTGCCACCGGCCGATTACGACTTGCAACAGGATTTTCAAGCGACTCAAGACAAGGATCGACGGGTCGATTTGCGACACTTGCCCATTCTCAGTATTGATCCACCGGGATGTACCGATATCGATGATGCCTTGCATTGTTACAAAATGGACAATGGGAATTTCCAAGTGGGCGTTCATATTGCCGATGTCGGTCATTATGTCAAGGCGGGGACCGCCATGGATTTGGAAGCGGCCAATCGAGCCACGTCGACGTATTTGGTCGATCGGAGACTGGACATGTTGCCATCGCTCTTGTCGACCGATCTGTGCAGTCTCCGGGCCAATGTCGATCGGTTTGCCTTTTCGGTTCTCTGGGAAGTCACACCCGATGCCCAGATTGTCAATGTCGATTTCCAAAAGACATTGATTCATTCCATTGCCGCATTGACATATCAAGAGGCTCAAACCATGATTGATATGCCGGATACTCCCGAAAATCGCAAGGATAAACAAGTGGCTGCCGTCAAGGGGTTGGCACAGTTGGCGCGGCTCTTTGCCAAACGACGGATTGATGCCGGCGCGTTGACATTGGCATCCCCGGAAGTCAAATTTGTCTTTGATAGCGAAAGTTTGAATCCAACCGATGTCAAGGCATATGCTATGTTGGAAGCCAACGATTTGGTCATGGAATTCATGTTGTTGGCCAATGTCACGGTAGGAAAGAAGATCTTGCGACACTATCCCACGCTGTCCGTGTTGCGACGGCACCCGGCACCCAGTCGGGCTCGATTTGATGACTTGATTAGCAAAGCCAAGTCGCGAGGGTTTGAGTTGACGATTGAGGATTCCAAGCAACTGGCCGATTCCTTGGATGCGGCCGTGATTGAGTCAGATCCTTACTTTAACAAACTGCTGCGCATCTGTGCCACGAGGTGTTTGTCACCAGCACAATACTTTTGTTCGGGCGAGTACCGACCGACAGAGTGGCATCATTATGGGTTGGCCGCACCCGTATATACCCATTTTACAAGTCCAATTCGTGAGTCGTCCATTCGTTTCCCGGATTCTTGGTCCTGTCGGTGAGAGATTGTTGCTTGATTGCTGGTCCTAACCTTTGCGTATGCGTCTCCCTTTCAACACTCATCCCCTTGAATAGGACGATATGCTGACGTCTGTGTCCATCGACTCCTGGCAGCCGCGATTGGCGTAGCACCTCTGCCCTCCCAAATGTCGTCCAAATCCTACATGCACGATCAAACGGCAAACATGAACCGACGAAACAGAGGCGCCCAGAACGCGGGACGCTCCAGTATTCAACTGCATACTGTCATTTTCTTTGGGGAAGGGGCCAAGGAAGAAGAGGCATATGTGTTGGACGTCGAGACGGCAACAGATTCCGAACCGTCCGTCAGGGTGATTGTTCCGAGGTACGGAATCGAGGGGCAAGTCAAGCTGCCCATCAAGGCTGGTGATCCCCGCTTGATACGGGGAGAGCACCGCATTTCGGTAGAGGGTAGCGCCACCATACGAGTCTTTGACAAGGTGAAGGTTCGTATATGGGTGAAGGTTTCTCCTGATCATCAACGAGAATTGATTTTGGACCTGCTGGAACCATCCTTTGGTAGTGAGAGCTCCGGTAAGAACACGGAACCAGAAGGAGACTCGGATGACGAAACAGCTCCGGCCAAGAAAAAGAGGAAGACCACGTAATCCATAATCAACATAGTGCGCTAGTCAAGATAATACAATAGCCGAGTTGATTGCTTTGTCCCGAGCGACCTTGTTATGCAATCGTATTGACCCGCCCCACGAGAAACCTACTGACTAGCAAACAGCCAACCTAGTAGAAGATCCCAAATCTCGTCGTTACTGGGAGTATTTTAACCCTCTTCCAATGATGATTGTACGCCATCATGACACCTCAACTATTGTCAAATGGGAAGTTACTATGGATTAGAGAGAGCTAAGATGAGGATGGGGACAGAGCTCGAGGGGAGGGCACGATGCAGGAACCCAAGGGAAGCAATCAAGTGCGCAAGCAGGGCAACATGGAAACCAAGGAAAGGGGTGAAGGCAGGAGCCCAGGGAGGAGCAAAGGAGCCTCAACTATGCAATGCAACTTGGTTCAAGGGTCCTTCTTGTTACGGTCAGGACAAGTGAGTCTTAAAATTGACAATTTGGACGTAAAAAAATATCAATTCAGCTGACACTCCAGAGTTGAGTCCAGTGAGTCGAGTCAATGGCTCATACGATTGCCGCCAAGAAGATTCACCAGCTCCTCTCATCATCTTCGATCAGCGCGGCCTCAATCGACATGACAGACATCCACCATGGCGGATCCTGCCCCTGATTCCGCTGTTGCTACTTCAGCTCAGTCTGCTGCTGCTGCAGCTGATTCAAGCGTGACGACACATACGCCTCTCCACTGCCGTTGGACGCTGTGGTATGACAATCCACGCTTTGCGCCTGCTGGTACCCTTTGGAAGGACAATCTCAAGAGATGTGGTTCCTTTCAGAGTGTGGAAGCTTTCTGGAGGTGCTACAACAATCTGAAACCTCCATCTCAATTATCTCTCAATTCCAATTATCACATTTTTCGGGAAGGTATCTTGCCCACTTGGGAAGATCCTACCAATATTGACGGCGGGAAATTTGTCTATACCATGCAAAAGAAAATCTCCAAAACGGGTGTCTGTGACGAATCCTGGATGTTTACAGTACTGGCTGTAATTGGTGAAACTCTGGATTTGGATGGGGATCAAGTGGTGGGCGCGGTGGTGTCCATTCGAAAGTCACAGGATCGAATTGCCCTATGGATCAAGAGTAGTGACAAGCACATTTGTCGGAATATTGGCTTGAGATGGAAAAAGGCACTGGATATTCACAAGGTCAATCTCAAATTTCAAGTTCACAGAGATGGTGAGTGATGGAAGAAAAGCAATCCACTCTGTGGGCGTTTTCTATGGTCCATTTTTGCCTAATTATTCTCAACTCTGTTGTACTTTTCTCCTGTATATTTTCAGCGGCAACAACCGGACGATCTTTCCGGAATGAGATCCAGTTTTCAGTGTGAGATTACGCGAGGATGAATGGTACTGCCTCGCAAGACAGGGTGAGTCATATGCCTGGCCTTTGTGGTTCGTGTAGCCTGAAGCTTGAAAGAAAAGATTTGCGAGTGAAGAATATTTCTATTATCCTGAGGGTCTGAGCGCAGCCATGCTGCGAGTGCTGCTTCAATAGAAATCGAGCTTTTTAACCCTGACGCATCTTTGTTGGACTCTTAATTGGAATGTGTTCCTTTGGATTGGTCAGCTAACCCGGTGTGTTTTCCTCTTCTTGCCTTACAGTACCATGGCGGCATTATGCTACAATTCGATCGAAGCAAGCTTTCCAGGTCATATTATACTGACCTGGTTCAGAGGGTCTCTCTTCACGCCCTCCGAGAGAGATCAATTTTGGACACCAATATTGGACACTTGGTTTATATCATTTCATGTGGCTATTATGTTACGCCTTTTCTGGCCAGACTGAGACAATGGCTGCCTTTCCTCGAAATATTTAGAGCTTTAGCTACGCTAGAACAATATTATGGATCCATCTTGTTGTAGTAATGGCTTCCGTACGGTAGCCAAAGGCAAGTCTTTGGTCTAGAATTGTGCATTGGCTCTCTAGGGGGATCCCAGACTATCGAGCTAATCGGAAGAAGGGTCTGGGGCCACAGTCAAGTCCAGTGGAGGGATGAGCAGTCTCGATCCGAGTGGGGCTGTCGGAAGCAACACCGAATGAGTTCGGTGTAATCACCGACTTCCGCACCTTCACGGACGTTTCACTCACTCGGTCGTTCACTTTTGAAATCAAATTCGAAACTATCTTAGTTTGATTTCAAAAGCTATCGCTAAAAGGAAACAAAGCATGAAACAACCATCCTTTGGACCAACATTATCGACGAGGTGAGCTCGTCCTACTGTACGGTACCTCATCAGCGTGCTCTTCACGGCCAACATGACTTATTGGATCGGGCTCTCAATCGAATGAATGATCAATGAATCCAATCTCCTCGCCCTGCGTTCAGCGGAAGGTGGTGTCACCCAGTCGTGAAATGCTCTTAACGCTTTCGGACACTCGGCCCGCCGCCGCGGAGTTCGCCGCAGCAGCGGCACAGCTCCCGACCCTCCGCAACAACAGCAACAGACAATGGCAGACACTCGACAAAGCCACCGCAACAATCTCCGAGGGTCTAGCTGTCATCAAGACTACTCTGAGAGGCCAGGAAGTGTTTTGTTGGGTAGTGTAGAGCATGCAATCAGTGCTCATCAGTGGCTCAGTCTCATCTCGTCACCTGTCGTTTTCCATCTGGCAGAATCTGTCATAATTACATCTGGCAGAATCTGTCAGTGGGAAAAATGGGATGTCACCATGATGAGCTCACTTTTTTGTTCAACCGGATTGCTAGAGTTGCATACCAACCGAACAAGGAAGATTTGCGATTGTTGATAAGCCTAGCCAGATCAACCCCCCAGACCTTATTCAAGTCTACTTTTACCTTTTCTATCAATCTTCTATTCAATACTATCAATTGCAAAATGAAGTTCTCTTCTTCTATCATCAAGCTGCTCACGTGGTCATGGACCACCGACAACAACAACAGCAACACCAGAAGACCCCGTTCTCCAGGTCGCCAAGGAGATGACGGGCAACAACAACAAGGATGTTCCTGCGGCAGAGGAAGTCCCAACGTTCCAACTGGACGAGTGGACAAAGATGTCGTCAAACAGCGGCACTGTTGCACACGTAGGAACGCATCCTGATGTGGAATTCCAGCAGCACGGTCGCTACCTAGGTGCCTACGACCTTTCCCTGGTTCCTGTGGATCAGCTGGTCACTACGGATACGACAAATACAACCAGCACCGGCCCAAAGGCTGTCGCATCCAACCCAGTCAATCAGCCACGCTCGCTGGAAGACCCATACGGTCAAGACACCGAACGAGCAATGGAAACCGTTTATCCTTTGCTCCCATCAACACTGTAGTGGGGTACTCTTCTGCGAGAGCGAACAAGCTGAGAACCGTCGTGCTATCGAGACATGAAAAAACATGTGCCACAGGCCCGATACGAATACTGGCAGGAAGCCCAACAACAATCATTTCCGTCGGCACACCCACACCCACGAACGCGTCTTGGACCTCGTGCAGTTGATTCAAGAGACGGATACCAACAAGTGGCCAAATGGATCACCAACAACAAATGGTTCCAAAGCGACAAAGCATACCTAAAACAAGCCAAACTGTACATTCAAATTGATGCCGTTTCATCAAGACCGAGGACTTGTTCGTTTTATCCAGGCGAAGAAAGGAAACGACAAGCAAGTCTCACATTGGTTCATGGTCAACGAAAAGAACCCTTACATGTCGAACTCGCCATGTGCCACTTGCACACGGAGGAATTCAGCGCAACGCTGACAACGAAATTTGCACCTTGAATACGCCAGAACAGATTGCCAAACGACGATTTGTCTATCGCAAGTCAAGACGTCTGCATGGAAGATGCAGCACCCGTAGTAGAGAACAACAACCAACAACAACTAAGAGTCGAGGCAATAGAAAAAGTCTCAACGTCGACGACGACAACAAGATGGCATCCGATGCCACAATCACATCGAAGCAGCGGTGGTTCCCACATGCACAGCAGTGGTCCCATACGTTCAAAAGTGCATGTGAAACACTTCAAGAACAGTGTGCATGGACAACAACCGTTTGTAATGGAGATGCGAATGATGAGTGGCGTGCTTTGGTGTGGTACCCAACAACATTCTAGCAGCATTGATGAAGGATTGTGGAGACCTTGTCAAGGAATTATGCGGCGGCACAACACACTACGATTGGAGGCAGGCGTTGCTCGGACGATACGGATTACGAATTGTGACTGGCCAAGTGGAGCTGAAGAACCACTGGTCGAGGAACAACAACAGCAAGTTGATGCTGAGAACCACTGTCGACAACCGAGTCGATGAGGAGGACAATGTGGCACAGCACAATCAACTTGCGACGATCAAAGAGACGCATGGCGGCAATTGCATCTCAGAGAATCGCAGAGCAAGTCAAGGCAAAGCCCCGGCGGGTGGCAGAACAACCTAGAATTACACGCAGACGCGCGGCGGCCACCAAGAAAAAGTCGACAAAGCCAAAGGCGAAGGGCAAGAAGAAGTCAACAAAGCCAAAGACGAAGGGCAGAAGAAGACGACGCAAACCTGTGACGGACACACAGCAGCAAACAACAGTTCAAACGACAACAACGCTTTCTGGACGGCGAGTAAGAAAGCCTGACCGGTACATTCCAGTCTAGGACAACAGGTAAGTGAGGGGGGCGATGACGGAGAGGGGACTACTAACACATGAATACAATACACAAAGAGCAAGCATCTGGTGGGGTGCAGGGCTATACAACAATTTTGCGGAGATGAATACAGTTGGTTCAATTGAAGGGTCACATCGAAGGTAGCCAGGTTTGTGGTTCCTGTGCTAGGCAGCCTCTATTGCAGAGTGCTTGTCCGAACGTCCTCCACGCGACGAAAGTCCAAAGTTAATACCAGTGACACCCGACAACCAACCTCTATCATTGTTGATGCTACAATCTTAAATACAACGAAACATAAACATAGAACAATAACACATAGTAGACAATCTTTACAACAACAAAAAACTGGTCTTCATTTTTTATAGTAGTTGTAGTCGTACTAGCTACCAGGTAGTGGTAGTTCATATTCATAGTAGCATCCGCTGTAGGGCAAGCTCTGGCATGTAAGCGGTCGTGGTGACCATGTGCACCAAGAGGATACTATGGTATGGGCTGTGGGTCAGATAAGAGTCATGTCGGCGGTCGTCTCCCAAGGTCCTTTGCCGTGGTTCTGAGTAGTCAAGTCATGTACTGGTACCGGCACTCTCGACTCGATGAGGCACCGTCCTTCTGGAGGTAGCTAGTGGAGTCAGTTTGGTTTTCTGTGTTAGCAATAATTTGTACAAATATCAGGAGCTATTGTTTTAATGAAGTCATAGCGAAATGTGAAGAGATGTGAACAGTTCAGAAGGAGAAGCAGGAAGACCAAGGCTGTTCTGGTCCAGATTGGGTCTTGATTCAACTAGATGCGGAGAGTATCGTTGACAGCTGCGACATCTTCACTTGTGGTGGCGTTCACAGCTGCGAGACCGTCAGTCGCAACAGCGTTCCCCTCTGGCGCAGCAGCAGATTCATCTACAGCTACGTCATCAGGTTTGCCTACTGTCACTGCGACGGCTGGTTCAATCTCGTGGCCTTCTCCATCAGCATCAGAGTAAGCTGCGGCTGGCAGTGCATCCCCCGTATCTCCTTCTTCGTCGTTAGGGTCTGCATCCACTACGGCAGGCTCCTCAGCTGTATCTTGAGCTGAGTCAGACTCAGTTGCTGTTGTCTCGGCTGGTTCGTGATCGGTGTGTTCTTCTGGCTCGACAGCATGCTTCTTATGATCTTTCGTGTGGTTCTTGTGGTGTTCTTCAAGGGGATGAGACTCAGTAGTATCACCACTGTCAGCAATCTCTCCCGCTTCGGCACCGGATTGCGCTCCCTTGTCACCACCATGAAAGAAATTTCGAATCGACGCCCTAAAGTTTTGCCAATAGGTCTTCATGCGCAGTCCAAAGTCTTGCCAAAAGTTGTGAACACGATCTCCTTCATCCTCCCAGCAATCGGGATCGTCAGATTCCAGGCACTTTTGCCAGTTGTAGCGGCCCTTTTCATCGTTCCAATCGGGCACGTTGCCGTTGTCCGACTGTTGACGATAGTCATACCAGTTGTTTTTTTCTGTTTGATGGCTGCTGTTGTCACGGTTATCATTGTGATGCGACATGGTGAGCGAATCCAAATCCACTAATTGCTGTTTCTGCTGTTTCTGTGGAAACGTAGAGGCATAATCCACAACAGCCATCCAGTATATCACAGCAGCCATCAAGGTCATTGCAACTAGCAAGATCCTGGGACAACCGCGATGGTTGAATCGATGATCAATGTCTTCGGCTTCCATGGTCACCTTGATCCCATTTTCTCCAGGGTGGGAATGTTGGTACGAGTTTGTTGCCATCTTTGTGTTTGATTGAATCATTCTTGTTTCTTGTTGCTGTGGAACTTGATTTGTGAGAAGAACGACGAGTGAGCATATTGCTTTCTTTGACACGTCCGAAGTACGTTCAGCGAATGCAGACGTTTCACTGACACTTCCTGCGACTGTTTTGATCTTTTGAAAGATCAGAGATCTTGTTATTACTAGTATTTATTATGCCTAACCTTGTTAATTAAGGACACACTACCGTGTGAAGTACCGGTAGCCCCCAGCGACTGTTTTGATCGTTGATTGCTGGCTGGGTTTTGGTCGTGGGGATGCAACTGCAAGCACGGCAGTCACACTTTTTCGTCCCTCTCTCTAACTGGGACCGAGCCAAAGTGACCATAAGTGAGAATGCGTCGTCAGCCGTAATAACTGTCTCCCATGTGTCCCAGGTGTAAAAGTATCTGGATCAGCAGCCCCCTTTGGGCCCTTTGAGCTTTGAGTCCGGTGCGGCGTAGTACGGGCTTGCTGGTCAAGGCGTTCGTCCTGGAGATGCGTTGTGCGCATACATACATTTGGTCCTTGAAGTCGTCCAGGTACATGTACAAGCCTGGAATTGTGCTGGCGTGAGGCCAAGAGTAGCGGCAGACGGAACTTAATGCAGGAATACTCAACATAAGCCTAACAGCCTAGGAGTTGATTGATCGAGTTGCTATGTTGTGTGTGTGTTGCCGTTCAATAGAGGCTACTAGCAACTGAAACTTAAGAAGACATCCAGCCCGCAAGAAAACTTGCCTTTGGATGGATACTTACTTGAGCTAAGCATTGTCCGTTTCTTCGTACTTGGGAACAATGCTGACGCTGGAAATCGTGTCGCCTTCGTCGGTTCGTTGCACACGCACCCCAGTTGCTGATCTACCTTGCGTAGAAATCGCGGATACATTTTGCCTCACAATGATCCCTTTGGCCGTAACGACCAGAACTTCATCGTCATCTTTGACGACATGTAAACAGCTCATCCGGTCATCCTCACTTTTGAATTTTATTGCAATGACACCCAGTCCACCGCGGCCCTGAGGTCGAAACTCACTGGTAGCCACCCGCTTTCCAAACCCATTAGACGTGATAGCCAATACGCACTCTTCCTTTCTGGCCTTGGATTCACTTCCGCTCAGCACATTCATGTCCGCTACCGCATCTCCTTCTCGAAGCTTCATAGACCGCACTCCGCGACTGGTCCTACCGGTCGGTCTCAGCTTGGAAATTTCAAACCGAATGGCAGAACCCATGGCCGAACCTATCAATATATCGTCTCCATCTTGACATAACTGGCACCAGTTGAGACGATCGTCCTCGTCCAATGATGCAATGGTCAATCCACGACCAGTCAGATTCTCAAATGCAGCGAGTGGGGTCTTTTTGATCCATCCCTTCTCCGTCGCCAGGACCAAGAAACGATTGTGGGAGAATTGAGAAACGGGTAGAATGGCAGTAATGACATCGCTGTTTCGAATGGGTAACACGGAAGGAATCGGCTGTCCCTTCGCCGTGCGGCTACCTGTGGGTACCTGATATGCCCTGAGCCCAAAGGCAATGCCACTTTGCGTCACCATGAGTAGCGTATCGTGATCGTTACAAGTGAAGCAATGGGCTATCGCATTGTCTTCTGATTCGCCACCATCTGATGTTCCTCGTTTTCCCCTAGTCCCTCTATTCTGACTTTCAAAGACTTTGAGTGGCATTCTCTTGATATACCCACCCCGCGTCACCACAATGACTGACGAGCAAAGAAAGTTGTTCGTTAGTAAGTGAGTTTGAGACAAGCGGAAACTTGGGGAGCTCTGGCCGTCAATAACTTAAACAACGACACCGCACGGGCTAATCGCGGCGCTCCGTGGGCAACGCCAACAAACAAACTGCACACCATGCACGATCATGTACTTACCAGATCGCGAATTGCGAATGAGATCAATATCATTGAGTGCTCCATCATCTTCCGTGACAATGCGACTCTTGCGTTCCGTCCCAAATTTCTTGACCAATTGTTGCGATTCCTTTTGGATGAGTTTGTACACGGCTGTATCCTTTTCCAGCAAGGTCGTCAAGCGCTTGGCTTGCTGGATGAGATCTTCTAATTCGTTCTCGAGTTTGTCCTTGTTGAGTCGCGTGAGTTGTCCCAATTGCAGTCGCAAAATGGCTTCTGCCTGTTCTACCGACGCTTCCAACAAGTCCTGCAGACTCGTCTTGGCCGTGGCCGTGTCGGGTGCTTGTCGAATCGTATCAATAACGGCATCCAACTGCGCCAATGCCAATAACAAGCCTTCCACAATGTGTTGTCGTGCCGTGACGGCATCCAATTCCATTTGACTCTTGTTTCGAATGGTCTCAAATCGAAAATCCAAAAAACAATCCAACGCAATTCGTAACGTCAATCGTTGCGGCACCAACGCCGTGGTCGTGGCATCCATTCGATTTCCGCCACTCGTGTTTTTGTTGTTGTTGTTAATATTCTTGGCCAGCAGTGCCACAAAATTGCCACTAAATGTGGATTGGAGTGCCGTCTTTTTGAATAGATTATTGAGTACGACCGCCGCGACGGCATCTCGTTTCAATTCAATCACAATTCGAATCCCTTCTCGATCGGATTCATCTCGCAAATCGGCAATCCCTTCCAGTTTCTTGTCATTGCACAGCATGGCAATCTTTTCCAACAATGCCGCCTTGTTGGTCTGATAGGGCAATTCCGTCACGATGATAGCGGTGCGTTGTGTTTTCTTGGCGGATACAATTTGTTCCACGGCCGTGACGGCTCTCAAGACAATACCACCTTGACCCTTTTCGTAAAATTGCTGCGCTCCTTGATTGCTTTGGAGGAGCAATGCTCCGGTGGGAAAATCGGGGGCCGGAATCAGTGTCCACAATTCTTCATCTGTGACAGCATCCCGTTTCCCCATGCGTGCTTCCAGTAATTCATGACATGCCGCCATGACTTCATTGAGATTGTGGGGTGGGATATTGGTGGCCATGCCGACGGCAATTCCCGAAGATCCATTCAATAAGAGCAATGGCAATTGCGATGGCAGTACGGTGGGTTCGGCATCGGTTCCATCAAAATTGGGCAAAAATGGGACAATGGATGGATGTAGATTTTCCAAAAGTGCCGTTTGTGCCAGTGGAGAGATCCGACATTCCGTGTATCGCATGGCAGCAGCGGGATCATTGTCGACACTACCAAAATTGCCATGTCCATCAATGAGTGGATGATACGACGAGAACAGTTGTGCCATGCGCACCAGTGCATCGTAAACGGCCTGATCGCCGTGCGGATGCCATTTTCCCAGTACTTCTCCCACAACACGAGCGCATTTGCGATGCGGTCCACTGGCGTTCAATCCCAATTGCGACATGGCAAAGAGGATGCGACGATGAACGGGTTTCAATCCATCGCGGGCATCGGGAAGTGCTCGGCCCAGAATAATGCTGAGGGAGTATTGTAGGAACGATCGGGAGATTTCCGTTTGTAGTTCAATATTGTTATGACCATTGTTGTTGTTGTTCTCAAAGTCCGACAAGAGCAGTGCCGATGCAGTAACGTCATTGTCCGGATCCACTTGTTCTTCGACACTGCCACCTGAAGCAGAAGCTCTCAAGCAAAGTGTGTATTGTCGTCTGCTTTTCGTAGTCCATAGACAAAGTGTAGACAGATCACGTCTTCTGGAGTGTGTGGCTGGATTAGTAGGAAGAAAAGCAGACGGAACTTGTGATCTGTGCGTCAAGAGGAGAGACTTTCTGACAGGTGCCATCCACGTGAATCCATGGCTGATGGGCACAGATATCAGAAGGAAGCAAAATAGAACAGTCATAGTCATGGAACTCTTTCGTAGCTTCGAGTGGCAGGATATCCTCTTTGCGGATGCTGGGGGTTGTGCATGTGGCAGGTGCATCCCTATCAGTGAGGAGGACGTACAGGTAGTAGTGCTCATTTTGATTGAAGATTCCTTCGCTTGATGGACCAATCGATGCTTTTGATGAACAATAATGAATCGAATCAAAGTCTCTTGATGTCCTTGAATCCAAAACGCTGAGACGATGGTACCCGTACCGTGCAGCAGAGGACGCAAAACTAGCTAGCTAGAGACAACGAAGAAGTGGAATGGTGATCAAGCAAGATGGGCAATCAAATGCTCATCGCACTGTCAATCCAAGCAAGAAGTGCCAATGGACAGAATTCAATCATTCGATGGCTGTGCCATGGTGCATGTTTTAGCATGGATCTTTTTCTTTTTAGTTTGGATCTTTTGATCGGATCACCGCCAACATCACCGAAAGTCACTCTGGTGCCATCATCGCACCCTTCCTGCAATGACACTACTTACTCAAATAGCATTAGACTAGGACAAACAATGCCGATAGCTCATCATCAAAAAGCACGATATAGATTCGATTCGATTCGTTGCGAGGCTTGAACTACAGTACTACCCTTGTCAAACTGTTTTAGAACTCCCGCTGCACGCAGCAACCGCATTCCGGATCTCCCACAGCATTTTCTTGGGACACCTATACAAGTAAATAGTAAAGATGGAAGATTGCCCAGCTGCAGATCTCCAAGGTCACTCATCATGAATCGCGGGTCCTTTGTCGTACGGTATGGCTTATAAGAAGCTCGCCTCCCTTGAACTACCGCTGCATGTCGTACGATGTACCGGTATGATGGATGTCCTCAAAAGAAGCAACGTTCTTGCCTCCATGCCATTTGCCAGGGCATCACTTCGTTTTGAACACAATAGTACCATGGTCTGCAGTGACAAATGCACCTCTATCGAGACTACTACCTGGTACCAGGTACACTATTAGTACTAACTAAAAGCCATGCACTAAATAAACAATATATGGTACTAATAGCTAGTCCAAACGCTTCTCTAGTTCGTACCACAAGTCTTCGCCATGAACAATGGAACTAGGACCATTCACTTGAAAGCCACAATTCCTGTAAAAGTCCAACAACTGTTCTTTGGCTAGCAACACTACGGATTCAATGCTTCCATCTGTATCACTGTTTTCTGCCTCGACCTTTTCCAAATACGCCTGGAGCATGGCCGTGGCGATACCCTGTCGTCGAAAGGATTCCTCTACAACCACCGAATGAATGGCCAACAGTGGTCCGTCTGGGGAATGAGTCGACATGCTCTCCTCGGCAAACTCATCGCACCGAGTGGCGCACACAAAGCCAATAATAGCGGCATTATCATTATTGTCGTCGTTGTTGTTGATTACGGCACATTGAAAATAGTCCCCAGCGTTGGCCTGTCGATAGGTCAATGACTCTAGGGTTGCAGCCTCGTCGGGAGGATAGGAGGCAGACTCGATCGCCAAGCAAGAAGCAATGTCGTTGGCAGATGGGGAGCGATAGGAAATTGCATGTCGTTGTGACAGTGCCGTCTCATCGTCGGAATGGCTGCAATTACTAGTAGTAGTAATAGACGAGGATATTAGGGAAGAGCGAACAGTATGCGCCAAAGGAAAGCCCGTGTGGGGTACCAGCGAGTTGGTTTGATAGGTCTGAAGAGACAGCAACACTGCTGACAGGATCCAAAGGACAAAAGTGCTTGGGTTCATCACAATTTCTTTTGCTTGGGGTCACACGCAAAAAAGTTAAAGGCAACAACGCTAATAACAGAACGGAAGGTAAAGGTATCGAATTGTAGAAGCCAGCTGTACTGGTTATGTTTGTCTGTCGAGGACCAAGAACTCTCAAAAGAGCACTTTCCCATCCAGAGAAAAAAGGACGTCAACAGCATGGCGCCGTATCGCCAACATCTGTTTTAAGTCAAGAATACTCTAGCTAGCCAGGGTTGTCTTTTCTTTGAAAGAACAGACAAGCATGCTCAGAACGATGCGAACTTTAGCCAGGCGCGGGGTACAGGATTTGTCCTCAACTTGAAATCCAAGGAGAGTTGTTCCGGACCTACTAGCTAGCTAGCTAGCCAGGAGTTCCGCCATCTGCATGAGCACGAACCTTGTGCTTCGTTTGCCAATATCGCTGCCCGGGTTTTCTGTAAGCTATGCGGTGGACCAATGCCAGTCTGTTCGGAGTACTCGCAACATCAACAGACACAAGGAACTTTGGCAGCCATTGGAAGTCACAAACCAACCAAGAGCGCAAAATTATATCACCCGCTCTTCCTTCATGACATCGAATGGCGGGTGGGAAGCACGGACCTGTCGCTCAAGGGTAAACCATCTAATATCCTAAGGTATTGCTATCTAGATGAATCAAAACCAATGCTGCAGATAAACAGACGCTATCTTATTAAAATGTACATCGATGTTCAGCTACAAAGAGCGAAGTGTATGCAATTTGCTTATTTGGCCAAAGGAAGGATGTCAGCAACGTTGCCCAACTTCTCGTGGACCATAAGACCAAGGATTCCCATTTGGGCGGCACGTCCTTGGTTCAATTCAAGGGCACGCTTCTTTGTCTTCCATTCGGCGGACTGCTTGTCCCATCCAAAGTCAATGAATCCATTACGGAAGTCACCCTTGAATTCGGCGTTGAAGTTGACATCAGCAGCTCCGGTGCCCCAAGGAGCCTTGGACTGATCTTGGTTGGCGGCTTCCATCATGAACCAGGTGGCAATAACTTGAGCCCAAAGCATCTGTGGGACATCAGCGGAGAGGGCGGCGAAACCGCATGGGACATCCTCAGCTCCGGGGAATCGGACACCGGCGTAGGTGGTAAGGTATCCAACAACGGCAAGCATGGCAACACGTCCGTGCTTCAACTCGACCCAGCGCATGCGGTCGAATTCAGCTTGGTCGGCATCACGCATGAAGCCCAAAGGATCCCAGTATCCGAGAGGGACTTGGGCTCCGATTTCGCTTCCGAAGGACTCCTTGCCTCCAGCGAGTTGGGTGCTGGATGCAGCCTTTTGGGAAGGAGCGAAAGCGGCGGCGCCGGCGATAAGGGATGCGATGATAGCGGTCTTCATGTTGTTTGTTGGTTGGGTATAATTGTCAATCAAGATAAATTGTGAGAATACCAACTTGGCTTTTCGTTGCTGGCTAGCAAGACACGGCTCTGGCCAGCGATCAGAGGGTGAAAGGATTCGATTCGATTGAATCCTTCTTCACAGGAGCTAGCTTGAAGAGATCTACGAGGCTCGGGGTGTCGTTGACACAGTCAACGTAAGCGCATCCTTCGCAACTTCAATTCTCTTTCGAATTTGGCAGGCGGCTCCCAGCGCTCGACGATACCGTGGCCATCGCACGCAAGCTTTGGTTTGCTTGAGTGGTATCTTTTGCTCCTTGAAGCTGTCTCCTCGTATCTTTTTGCGACATTGACGCAGCAGTTTTTGTATGTAGTTCTCAGACGTTTGCGCTGTCTGATGCGACTTTTACATGACTTTTGTTGAAGAAACAAGAACCGATTTTTGGCTGACGACACCCCCCCACCACGTTCTTTCAAGCCACGTGGGCATCGCAATCACGAAGCGCCAGTCTCAGTCCCCAATGTGGTGTCTATCTGTCTATCTTTCCGAGTTTTCGATCCTCAAGGTATCTTCTGGTGGCCGAAGTTGCCGCATGGATACAGCTAGCTACTAGTAGGTTGCTTTGGTTGCCCATTGCTTCCCTAAGATTGTAATGTCAGAAGGACTTGAGCTCTGAACACAGGTGGCTGACTGGTTGAAGGTTGTTTCTTCTCTCGTCCTTGCTGCTGCTCCCGCGCTCGTTTAGGCTTGGATTACGCTATGAGACGCTATATACATGTAACAATAGCGTCTTGTCCGGCGCTCTGTCCAACAGAATCGAATCTGAATCAATCTCCCCATTGAATTCGGTGTGCCAATGGCAAAGCATCGATTGATCATTCCTCTTTCCGGCCCTTAACACGTTCCTTCGACGCCCATCCCCTGCTCGGCTGGCTTATTGCTGATCAAAGTCAGAAAAAACCGAGGTTGCGCGCTTGAACTTTGGTCGGCTCGGCTCGACTCGACTCGACTCGACTCGACTCGACATTACAATTTTGCCCTCTCTGCTGGTTTATCTGGCGTGGGACTTTTCTCCAAGCTTTTCCAACCACCAATCTTGAAACGCATTGCTCATTTCTGTTTCCAACATGTCCGCCTGGTAAGAGAGTGATCTGCCGAGGTTGCTTTTGTTGTGTCTCTCTCTATTTTGCTAATAACTAACGACTTACTCCATACCAATTTTGTTTTATTGCGGCTGTGGGAACGAAGGGGTGCCAACGCAAAATCATGCAAGTCTCTGTTGGATCGAGTGGAGCGCAATGATGCCGGTCTGACGGAATTATTCATTCTCCCCACCAAGACGTTTGGTGGAGAAGAGGTTGATAGGTTGGCTCAAATAATTGGTACGAAAAAGATAACTGCATCCCCTTACTACTACGAGCCGTGCCAATTTACCTGTTCTAATAATTGCTTCACTCAAATTTTGGTATATTATTATTATAGAGAATGGAATCAACACACATTTGAAAAAACTGAGTGCATCTGGTCACAAGGTTCCCAATGAGTCACTGTACAAGCTGGGAAAGGCCATTGCAAGTGCTGCCGCCAAGAAAACAGCCGCTCCAACGTCACTGGCCATTGGCGATCACACCCTGGGACACACTGGAATTCTAGCTTTTACCAAGGGTATTCGAGAATGTGGAGGAATCACAGATTTGGAAGATATTGATTGGAGTTGGAAAGGAATGTACGTACAAGTGAACAATAATCTACTGGTCTTTCTCTATTGGCTGAGTGCTTCTTCCTTGGGCGAGATAATCTGTTTTGGTGTGTTTCAACTTGTCCTCACAAATGGATTTCTTCTTGTTCGGTAGTGGAAGCAGTGCCTTCGAGATGATTCTGGAGGTTTGTGGAACAAAATCCAGCCCAAAGCTGCGGGTTTTGAATCTAAGCCGCAATGAGAGTATTGGCGAGCAATCAACCGAAAATCTTTCCTTTGCGGCATTCTTGACACATTTGCAAGTGCTCGACTTGTCAACATGTGGATTGTCCGGTGATTTCCTTACCCAATTCTTGGTAACACCCAAAGGGGTACAGCCAAATTTGAAACAACTCAATCTACACGACAACCCAATTGGGGCGACTGGATGGAAGGCCATTCTACCTCTCATGACTCGTGATTCCTCCTGCTTGGAGGTCCTCAATCTGTCCAAATGCCAAATTGACAATGATGCCATGAGCGAACTTTCAACTTGGTCGTCGAAATCATCCAACAGCAATCTGCGTATTCTTGACCTTTCGGATAACGAATTGTCAGCAGCTGGGATAGAAATCCTCTCGAAGGAACTCTCTGTGTTTCCCAATCTGGTGGAACTGAACTTGGCTGGCAATGCCATTGGCGAACAGGGAGTCCAACAGTTAGCCATGGCCCTGGAAGCCCGTCATACACCGCAACAACAAGGCTGTTGTTGCCCACTGAAGAAGCTGGACTTGTCCAGAACACAGTGTGGCCATCAAGGGGCCATGGACATGATCTCTCGTGGTAGACTGCAATCTCTGCATTTGTTCCACAACGAATTGGGCTCCGATGGCTTTACTGCTCTTGCGTCAACACTTCAAGGCGGTCATGCAACGCTGGAATATCTTGACCTGGGGGGAAATGGAGCAAAGCAAGATGCAGTTGTAGAGTTGCTCAATGCGTTGACCAACAATCCAATGGAAAATAGCTGCCTCAAAGTGTTGGTGGTGGGTGGCAACGAGGGAGGGGATGGAGTGGAGGAAGCTGCTGCCCGAGTCGGACAAGTTCATCCCGCTCTCGACATTGCTCGGGACAAGAAAGCACAGCGTCAAGCGGGCTAACTAGCTAGCTAGCTACAGATAAACTTAAACATGATGGTGTTGCTACGGTACAGTTACATGTACGTCTCTACTTTACCACGCTTTCAATAGCACTTGGAGGTCCCTCGGTACAACATGTACCGTACCGGTACCGTCTGTGGTGCCGGTGGCAAGTCTGTCCGAAGCTGCGACAACCTTGCTTTTGGTTTCAGGTAGACGCGGCAAAATAATTGGTTTTACCGTATCCAAATTTTTAGGAAGAAACCAAAGCCTTTTAACTTATATTTACCCCATCTAAGATTCTAAAGCAGTCTTCCAGCCATCGGAATACAATATTGCTTGCGTCATTCGCGCAAAAAAAGAATTCTGAAAAAAAGGATTCTTGTTCAAGGATACCTCTGGATAGAAGCCTTTCGAGACACAACACAAAACAACAAAAGCTCAGTGCAGCCATACAAGCAAGCGAGAACATGGCAGTGAACAGTCCTGAGCAAACAAACGGGGTGTCCAATGGCCACAGTAATAGGAGCAGTGAAAGGACCGCCGAACCTCTGCTGGGCAACCGTCCGCGTACCGCCAATGGAACTTTTCTGCGAATCCTGACGATCAACGATGTGTACAAACTGGAAAACTTTCCTCATTTTGCGGCAGCTGTCGACATGGCCAGGGCTCTCGCATCGGACCAAGACTGTGTGGTTGCCAGCTTTCTCAATGGCGACTTTTTGAGTCCTTCCATTCTCACTGCTTTGGATCGCGGGCGTGCCCTTATGAACGGAGTCAATCTGGCAAACATTGACTACCTGTGCCTGGGCAACCATGAATTTGATATTGGGTTTGACGGGCTGGAGAGTCGTCTTCAGGAGCTTTCCAAGAAAACTACATTGATCAACTCCAATGTGGATGATGATTTTTTGTCGAAGCACTACCCACCTTTTCACTTCCTCCAGATTGGAGAGGAAAGAACTGCAGTCGTTGGAGGCTTTTTGACCAACCAAATTGACATCTTTCCTCCCAAGGCCAAGCCAAAGATTCGTCCCATTGAAGAATCATGTGTCTCTACGTGGGAAGACGCCAAGGCTGCTTTCAAAACAGCCAACAACAACCCCAACAGTGACACCAACGATACGAAGCTACCCGATCTCTTTCTACCCATGACTCACCAGCTCATGCACCAAGATAGAAACACGGCCACCTTTTTGGCCCAGCATGAAGAGTTGAAATCCAGGACACCGATTATTCTTGGAGGCCACGATCACGAAGTTTATCTTGAAGAAGTGGGCCAATCTATCATTGCCAAAGTGGGTGTCGACGCGGAGAAGATTGGGATCATTGATGTTTGGTGGACCGCAGACGGCCAAGTCAAATCGCGGCTATCACTGGTACCCTGTGACGAGTTCCCCAAAGATACTTTAAGCGAAAAATATGCTCAGGAAACCAGTGCCAAGGTCAACAAGCTCATGTCAACTCCCATTGCATCGTTGCCAAAAGGAGGTGGATCGACCAAGAAGGTTCGATTTGAGGCATCTCCCGTGGCATCGTGGCTCTTATCCACGGTAAAGCGCGGTCTCAATCGCACCCAAGACAAACACATTGACTGTGCGTTGATACAGGCTGGAGGCATTCGTGGACAAGCAGACTATGATGGCAGTGCGCCCTTTCGGGTGGGAGATCTCTACAATGAATTTGCCTTTGAGACTCCCACGGGCATTGTGGAGGTCCCAGGTTGGGTTCTAGCGGAGAGCGTGCAGAATACTCGCTCCGCGGCCAAACCAGCCCCGCAATTCTTGCACCTCGACACCGATTGCACTGTACTGCAGCAGGGAGATGACCATATTCTGACCCATGTGAACGGCGCTCCTTTGGTGAAGGATCGACTCTACCGCATCTGCACCTGGAATAATACCTTGAATGGAGTCAACGACATCCAGCCACTTCTGGCTTATGTGCAAACGAACGTCACGGTCCCAGACGATGAAGCGTGCCGTCCAGCCAAGGATATTGTGCTGGAAGTGTTGGTGGTAGATGCGTGGCGTCACTTGTTTGAGCTTCCGTCGCATGTGGACAATAATTGCCATAGCTGCGTTCCTGGCTTGACCCAGCCTGACATTGAAACGGCAGTCGATCGTGTCTTTGCTGAGATGGAGTGCGCGGGAGATGGGGTCGTGAACATTGATGCCTTGTACGACTACATGGAGAGCAAGGGTCATCGTATCTACCATGGATGCGGAATAGCGATGGAAATGATGAAACTGGTGGATGTGGAAGGCAAAGGTCAACTGTCTCGAGATCTTGTGTTGGAACAGTTGCAAATACATGCCTGCGGGCCATGAAGACGCCCTTTGTTTCTGGCGGAGACGAAGCTTGATTTTTGCATGTATTCTTAGCCTATATTATAGTCAATTGCTCCTACTAGACGTAAATAGCAACGTAAACTACCGTGGCGAATACCATAGCTACATGTACAACTAAGTGTTTCCGAAATAGCCGATTCGTGCCACTGGCTGCTGTACAGTACAGTATACCATGCGTACTGTAGTTAGTTCCTAATCAATGGAACGAACATAGTAGGGTTGGTTCAATTCAACACGCTGACCGTCCACCAGCGCCGTCAAGTCACCACAGGATATGGCATGCGGTGGCTTAGTATTGCTGGCAAGATCTAGCTGGTGGCATCCGCAAGTTGGCAATTGCAAGATTTGGCCCCCATTATTGGTGGCATTTGCGGAGTTCCGGGTATTGGAAGACGTGAGGAAGACTTGATCCGTCTTGGTGGAAAATGCAATCCCCCAGGAATTGACTCGGTCAGCTTCTTGTAGCCATCCCCAGTGGCGAATTACGTCCTCCCCGTGATTGTTTGGTGGCTTCTGTTGTTTTGGCAAGCAGAATTTTTGAATCCTCCTTCCACCGGTAGCATTAGGAGCAAAGGTGGATACATGGAGCATCCCATGTCGGCAGTACTGTGGATCCGAGGGTCGATTTAGGGCAAGAGAGGCAGGCGCTGGAATGGCATAATAGCCCACAATAGTACCTTGGCGCTGGTTCCTTTGAAAGGACCCGTTGGGTTGAAGATCAAGACATAAGATAGCTCCGGTAGGAGTGTCGGTCGGTTGTCGGAAATCTCCCTCACCACAGATATGTCCTGCAATGAGCAAGTATCTCTGACAAGGACTGATAGTCATGCCCCAGAGGGCCCAAAAGCCATTCATGCCATGTGAGGGTCCAGCCCGTTCTAGGAGCGCTCCCGTGGAGAGTGAGAGCCGTGAAATGGTGGCATTCTGTGTCGAGACCACATAGAGACTATTGTGGGCAAGTACCAAGCCTTCGGGAGATGCCAAGTTTCGTCCACTCGCCAACGTTCTTCTATATTGGTATCCTTTGGGGCAAGGACGAAACTCTAAAACTCCTTGGACTTTATATTGACTCAGGTAGAGTTGCTTCTCTGGTCCCACGGCCAAGCAGGTGGGCCATTGGAAGGCAAAACGGCCCCTCGTTGTTTGCGGGGTATAACGCTTCCTCTTTCGGCAGTTGGGGGATGCCGCAAACCTTTGGACAATGCTAGAGGTAATACTAGTTTTGCTGAAGGAGGAAGAAGACAGCAAGGCCACTTCATTGGAGCCTGAGATGGTCATCACCAGCAATCCCAAATCCAATGGCTTTATGACAGAGTTCCAGTGCCGACACACACAGGCAGCCACACGCAGATCCAGAACATTCAAGTGCCCAAAGATCTTCAACTGGAGATCTTCCGAGAGACCTTCCAAGGTAAGAACAGGACGGGAGGACATGGTACTATGGCAGCGTCAGTAACGGTACTGATCTTTCTGGTATTCTATGATCTCGACCCACGACCCTAGTATGCTGCCTCCGGTGATCGCAATGGTACTGTACGCAGACCACAGACAGAGCAAAGGAAGTGACCTCTTCGGAAGATCGGTGCGGTCAAGTCTGCAGATCTGGCTCATTTTTTGGCACGACTGAAGGCTCCTATCTTTTCTCGGCTCACGACGTCGCCATCATCGCGCCACCCTCTGTTCACTTGTCGCGAAATCCAACATGCCACAGCTAGTAGGATGGAGCCGAGAGGAGTTCAACGAAGAGGCCCAGCGGCTGGTCTCTGCGCTAAAAGGCTTGCAGAAGTCAAGCTCAGCCTCTCAAGAATTCCTAAGTGATTGGCTGTTGGAGGCGGATGGCAATGCTGGACATGGTGGTGGCTTCTTTCTGAAGCATCCATCCGTGACACGAATTGTGCGTGTGGACCATCAGGAGACCACAGAAACAGAAGAAGAACATCACCACGAAGAAGAAGAGGACGCCTTTTGCGATGACACGATACTACAAGATGATTCAGAAGTCATGGCAGACCCAATCGCTGTTGATACAAGTAATGATGGTAACAAATCCATTCACCATTCCGATCATTCTTCGTCCTCATTTGTATGTGAGACACGGTGGCATTTCAGCATTGTCTACAGCAACACATGGAAAGCTCCAATTTTCTACTTTACAGTGGAAAACATGAATGACAATTCTAGTCCATGCCCTCGATCGGACGTCCTCCAAATCCTAATGACATTCAGCCACTACAACCGTGTGGAGGATGCCTGGGAGTTTTTGTCTCATGAAGAGCACCCCATTTCTCGGATTCCATCCTTTTTCCTCCATCCCTGTCAGACTTTGGAGCGGTTGCAGACACTACTAAAAATGCAATCTACTATGAATGGTACAGAGAATGGTGCTGACTGCTCCAACTGCCGCCTGTTGAGTTGGTTGTCCATGATTTTACCCAGTGTTGGATACTCATTTCCATCCAAGCTCTTTCAGGAACTGCAAGAGCAACTCAGCCTGCCATCTTTAGAAGGAGCAACCACAAGTGGATCCGAGGTGGATCCGAGCTAGCTGCGTAGAGATTTATTTTGCCCTAGCTAAACTAAGGACTATTTTAGAGAATGGTTTTCTGAATGATCAATCCACTAGCACAGATACTGGTAGCAATGCGCACTAGCAATAGCTAGCTGGCTAGGTGTTCCTTGAGGGCATTTCTTTGCCTTGACTGCCTACTGGTGTCAAATCTCCCTGGTAGCTGTCATGCAGCCTTTTTCATTTAATTTCTCGCGTGTTTGCTTATGGAAGGTGTTCCATGGCATACCAATTCTTTCTACCTTTCTCTTTCTGCTCCCAAAACACTCCCAAACTCAGCAAATCCCTCCCCTGGCTGTGTCCGTACTGTTCTGTGTTTTTAGTGACAGCCTCGGTCTCCAAAGCGCTCCTTTCCTACCGGTATGGTACGTATCTTGCCGCTTCGAGGCCCGATCCTGCCGGTAGGCCAAGCACGAATGGCTCAACTCGACACTCCAAGGTTGGGAAGATCCAGGAATACAGTCATCAGCGTGCAACGTGACATTTTGACACCTGCTCTAACACACATTCTACCCCAATCTTTGCGGACACAAATAATTTTCTTTTGGATCTTTTCCTATAGAAAACAAATTGAGCAGCATTTGGCCAGAGGAAGAAAGTTATTAGAATAACAATACATCTATCTCTTGAACATGAACATCCCCACACTACACCGCCCACTCTATGACGGTTGCACCACTGGTGAAGAAAAAGCCGCTGCCATGACGGCAGCCATGACGGAATTGCAAGAGGTGAATGACGACGGCATGGACTTTAGCAACAAGACGAGCATGGCCATCGCGTACGAGCGTCACGTCGAATCGCAACGAGACGATCGTTTGTTCCACGATCCGTTGGCGGTTCATCTCTACGAGCCATATGGCCAAAAGATGAGCGATGCCTTGGCATTTGGACTGGCGTATTCCATCTTTGATCCACCCGGTGCCGACATTGGAATTGGCATGATGGGGCATACCCTCTACACGGCCGCCCGAACCAAATTCATCAACACTCACCTAGAAAGTTGGCTTGGTACTGCTACTACTGGTGACAAGCAAGTCGTCAATTTGGGTGCGGGTGCCGATACGCGAGTCTTTTGGTTGGATTGTCTGGAAGGTGCCAGCATTTACTGGGAAGTGGATCAAGCGTCTGTGATGACGTGGAAACAAACCATTCTCAATGGCCTCGATGAAAAGGAGCTTGTAAAGCCCAAATGTACGTACAAGTGCATCTCCATGGACTTTAACAAGGAATCCGTGGCCGATCTTCCCAAACACGGGTTTGACAGTAAGATTCCAACCTGTTGGATCCTGGAAGGACTCATCATGTACTTGCCCCGAACCGAGACGGAACAACTGTTTGATTACATTTCTCAATTGTCCGCTCCGGGATCCTACCTGATTTTGAACTTTGCCAGTAGTGACAAGTTGGGGCCTACCATTGATGAAATCGATGAACGATTGACAGCATCATCATGGACCAAGGAATCGCGGCTCATGTTTGGCGAGGAGGGGTTCAACTTTGGACGGTATCCCTCGGACAAACCAGCCAACAAGTTGATGGGCTTTGGCTTGTATCAAAAGAAGTAAGACGCAGAGCATCAATGGCACAGCACAAGCAATAGTATGCCGGGGATATTTGAAACTCGTCTCCGAAGCGTTGAACCGGAGCGCAATCCTCGTGCTTCTGTTTGATCCACCGTGGAAACTGGATTTGGGTGGGAGAATCCCGTTGGAGATGCAAGCAAGCAAGGAGACACGTAGAAGTGGAAGATGTAGAGATGACAAGTAAAGATGGGTGCAAATGGAGGAGGTGGAGACTGGGATATCCAAACAGAAAGATCAAATAGTCTAATGCAACTAGCTAGGCAGAGCAAATTTTGGATAGACAGCAACATCTCGTAATCAATACTCTACTAGCTAGCTGGCTAGTAGAGAACCAACAAGCAAGCAAGTAAGTGGACGGTACGAAATTATCGTTCGATTCGATTCAATCATTCGTCGTTACGAGTTAGACTACATTGTCATTGTTGTTCAGGAGAACTTCATGGTAATTTTTCCTTGAGATCTAGCTAGGTTCTTGGCTGTCTCGGCAACCTTTCTCGCTGATACCCTACGTACGGTACGAAACATTCACCGTAGAAACGACCCTACTGGACCGGTTGGGGAAGGATCGATGGCTGAGCTGATGGCTGCGCGCTTGCCTCCGAGCCAAAATCAACAGAGGTACGACTATTTTTACAATACCGATAGGTACCCGTAACAACGACGACGAGACTACGACTTTCACTGCACACACGTCCACTGGTTGTTCTAATAATCGTTCGTTCGTTCTTTAGAATACTTCTAATAGAATGGTTTGTTTTCTTACTGAATACCTACCTACTGTAGCTAGAAAAAGGGAGGAAGAAATCATTTCCTGATATTGTGCAATCACTACGGATCAAAATGGTGGCGGATTGGCTTGCTTCTGTTGGCATGACTTTCGGTTGCAGATTGACTTTGTCATGTTATAGTATTCATTTCATTCCAATTTGAATCGTTGGATATTGATTTGTCGCAATGTCAATAATTCCTTGATGCGTTGCAACAAATTGGCCTGTGCCATTTCTAGACTGGGTTGTAGATAGAGCTCACAGAGTTTCTCGGGTGCCGGTGTTCCTTCCATTTCGGGTACAATTTGACATCCCAACTGCAGTGATTCTCGCATGGTCGAATCCATGAGTGGTTTGATCATGTTCCAACAGACATTGGCGACAGATCCGGTGTTGTAGCAGAGTGTGGATTTGAATTTGATTGGATAGTGTGCCCATAATTCTCCGTGAAATCGATTGGAGTATTCCATGGACCAGTTGTCCCATCCAATGTCGTCGCAATCGATAATCATGAAAACACCCTGTCGAATGGAAGAGAAATTGCTGCAACTGACGTGTAATTGGTAGTAATTCTTAATGACATCGATATGCCATTGAACATCGACCAATGTTGTTGTTTTCGTCAACGATTTGGTCGGCGCCACGTTCGATGGCTTGTGGCCGGTGGCAATGCCTGGAAAGTAGGCTGCCAAATCGAGTACCACAATGGGTTCACACGTTTCCGGATCGGTATCCATGTGCAGCAAATGTCCGGGATGATGTCGAAACCATTCGGTAAAGTAAATCATGGCTTGATCGACACTCTCTTGAATTCCGTATTCTTGACAAAACACGTGCATTCCGTGTATGCGACGCAACGCTTCTCCGATATTCCCATGCGTCACAATGGCATATTGGGCCACTTCAAAGTCGGTCAACAGCGGCAACGGCTCATCATCGTCCTGTTGTTGTAACACATGACGCAATTGCAACGCCCACGTTCGTTCTTCTGCCGTCAGATGCATCGACGGATCGCTACATGGTTGCTGTTGTTGTTGTTGTTTACAGGCGGTCTCGCAATCCATGCTTCGTAGTAACAGAGGATGAAAGTGTCCTTCTTGCTGCTCATCATCAATATCGATATTGTCATCATCCTGATCGTCGAGTCTTTGGCTCGTGCCCATCTCCATTAACAACGAACGAATGCTGTTGTCCATGTCCAGCTCGAAAAACTCCAAGCCTTCTCCCATTCCATTGCTGCTGTTGTTCAGCGCTTCCACTGCTTGCATAATATTGACTGTTGTTTGCACTTACTTACAAAGCAGAATAGATACCGTACACACAAAAGAAAAAACAACGAGCAAAACTCTTGTGGTTGTTGGGTGCTGATCGCGAACAACTGCTTCCGCCCTTGGCTGGGTTACGACGTTACAACTGTAGTTTCCCTCGCTGCACTGCTGTTGTATGCGTCGCTTTCTGTTCTCTGGAACACTCTTTAAGTCCCGCGAATGTCTCAGTAGCGTTAGGAATATCTTAAAAGCTGGCTTACTTTACTTTACAACACATCCAGGTCGTCTGAAGCATGCTGGAGCTGGAGAGGGCTGATGAGGGGGCATAAAGCAGCAAGCAATGAAACCTAGTGTGTACACACCAGATTCTCCTTCAAGAGGACGTGACAGGTGTTGCCGCGAGGATGACATGTATGTAGCCACCAGCCTGCAAATACGTCGTACAATTGTACAGCCTTCATCTAGCTAGTCCCTACCGGTCCTACATGTAGCATATCTAGTAGCAAAAAAAAACACACACCTGAAGTCAAAGGGCGCGCGGAGCATAATAGAGTGGTGGATCAGGTAGGGCGGCGCATCAAAGGATCGAAGTAGACTATGCCATACATGTTTCAACGCGCAGCGAAAAAAAGGGAAAAACCTAAAAATACAGTGTACTAGTACTCTAGCTAGCTACAGTACCGGTACGACCAATACCATGAAAGCTACACGCACTTTCCCCGTTCCAGCCAAAGCGTCATCAGCCAAAAACAAAATCATCGTCGCTTGCTCTAGCGGTCGACAAGCCATGGCTATGGCACGAGCGCTTGCTCTTGGCGGAACAAGTAAGCGACAATCAGACTACAGTACACCAGGCCAGCCAGACAGCCAGACCACCAATAAAATCAGCTCTATGAGCGATTCGATTCGATTCGATTTGATTCATTCACACCAGCCCTGGGCAACAACCCATGCTTCACGAATTACTTGTCCAAGCGTCCATCCAGGCAACTGCATGCTGATCACAAGCAACCGTCTACCAGGGCCGCCAATACAACATGCAAATGTACCGCACTCATCAGTAGCATTTCCAAGCGAACCCAAATCACTGAAACTTGCCAAGCGGTCGCACACTCTCAAAGTGTAACTCTCGCATCTCGCATCCGTTGGTCATCATCAGATTCGTAGTCTAGCTAGTGGGATTGGGAGGTAGCTAGCATCCTGAGCTTCCAAAGCAGTGAAAATTCTAGCTCTGCATAGACCCTTAGACCCTCCCACTCATCAGGGGTGGTACGTGTACCTACGCTATTATAGTAGGGTAGACCAACCATCCCTGCAGTACCGTACAGTACAAGGAACAAGTACTTGTAGCATCTCGTCATTCCAAGTCACCAGAATTCCACTGCACGTGCAGTACATAGTACATAATGTCTTCGTTCAGCCACAGGTTTTTTCCACTTATTCAACGACATTCACCTCATTCCAGAGCATCTGAATGTCGTGAGCATAAATAAATTTAAATCTCTTTATTCCCAAAAATGTCACCTTTACTTCTATTGGTACCGAGCAACCCCAATTGTTCATTCAAAGATACTCTATGGATGATACAAAACTTTGAGACTTGCATCCTTATTATCCTCTGTGTCTGAATTGAAGACGCCATTGATTCTGTTTACTATTATAGTACAGTCAACACTCACTTAAGTTCCGTTTTTTTAAGTTCCGCTATTCTACAAAGTTCCACTTTTTCAGGGCTGCCCCCCTCAGTCACTAGTTCTCATGACTGAACATGACTGACTAGTGAATGGGTTTTGTGGCTGTTTTTGGCTGGGCTGGCAGTTAGAATCTTGCCAAATGAGGCAACAACAGTCTCCACAAAGCCCAAATAGCACCTTTTTGACAGCACTGTGGCCATTTTGGGCCCAAATAGTAGATTGGATCCACCAGAGAGAGTCTGGGCACAACTAGTAGACAATAGAGACACTATATGTAGAAGCGATGGGGTTCCACCCCATGAAATTTTGGCTCCTTTTACCCCCAACAACAATAGAATATGACAGGAACCACCCCAAGTGGGTCCTAAGACCACGAACCGGCCGATATAGGGCTCCAAAGATCTAAAGTTCCGTTATTCAGCTAAGTTCCGTTTTTTTCTTAATGCTGGGGGGTGGAACTTTAGTGAGTGTTGACTGTACCTGGTAGCACATTAATATTGCAGTCAGCTTTCTCTACACCTTCCACGTTCCACGTAATTCTCTTATGTACTCTTGTCATACCGATACTTCACACTGACATGATGTATGCATAATAAATTCTACAATTGCGCGGGGGGGCAAGAGCGCAGGCCATTGTTGGTTCTTCGTAAGGCGGTTCAAACCACTTGGTAACCGGTTGTCAGGCAATCTTCTGCGACATGCGCCCGACACTTCTCACCGACATCATCATCTGATGTTTCGTATGCATACTTAGACATCGACTCGGGAAAGGATCAATTCACTAGGCTACGTCAAAAAGACTCTAGCCGGCAGAACCTTATAGCCTGTACCCAAGCACTCGGGAATGGCGCACTTCGTAAAGTTGGCTTAAATAAGTTTCCTAAGCCCACTTACTAAAAACCCCTTAGCAGGGGAAAATACTGTGGAAAATTGTGTCAACCGAGCGATTTACATTCAAAAAGTGTTTGAATAAAGACTTAAAGACGTGGTTCAAATCACGAATTAGTTCTCTGACATTTTGCTTAAGGTCGGTGTTGTTTCACCAGGATTGAAGCAGTAAAACACCAGCGCCACGTGAACTCTGAGAATGCCAAATCGGAAACTGATGATGGGACGAACTGGATGAGCTCACAATATTTATCTCTTGCAACGCAAAGAAACAACGACCAAAAACAAAGCAGCGCTTTCTTGACTACTAGCTAGCCAAAACTTCCTTGCAAAAACAACCAAACCACCATGAAGGTCTTTAGCTCTCTTCTCGTTCTTGCCTCTCTGTTTGCCCCCTCCTTCCAACAAGCCGTTGGAACTGGCCACACTGGGCCTGGAAATCCCAATAGTTGTTCAGGAAGGCTCATGGAGTTTCACGTTACGATCAACGCTGATCTCGTTGGGGATATTACGTTTGCCCTCACCGACAAGTGTGTTTTCGAAGTCGTTGGAACCCTTCAGTACGCCGCACGGGGAAACCACATCTACACGTATTGTTTGGACCCTCTGCGCCACTACGGTTTCCAGATCACCGACTTTCCTGGTAATGTTGACGTGAACAATGATCACTGGTCGCTCATGTGGGGAACTAGTATGGTTGTGGAGAACGGCGTCATCACACCCAACACACAAAACGCGACTGTCTTTGGTCCTCCCTGTGACAGCGGTCCCGATGTCACAGGAGACCCACACTGTAAGTGATGCATGCAAAATATGATGCCTACTAATCTTGTCGACAACGAATTTGGTCTTACTCACACCCGTGTCCTTTTCTGCATTGTATTGTATTGTATCTCTACGGTACAGTCAAGACTCTCTCTGGAAACCAATTCGACTTTCACGGTGCCTGCGATTTGCTCATGATGTCGGCTCCCAGCTTTAGCGATGGTCTTGGCCTTGACGTTCATGTTCGCACCAAGTCTCGCTACCAGTACTCGTTTGTCGAGACTGCTGCCATCAAGATTGGAGATGATATCCTCGAAGTGGGCAGCTACGGACAGACCTTTTTCAACGGAGTGGAGGGACCTAGCTTTCCTCTGATGATGGGAGGTTTGTTCCCTGTGGAGGCTGTTCGCTCCGACAAGAAGAACCACGTCTTTGAAATTGACCTTGGAAACGACGAAAAGATCCGTGTCAAGTCCTTCAAAGACTTGGTGAGTGTCTTGGTTCCCGAGAAGGTCTCTGTTTGGGGTGAAGGATACTACGGCATGTGGGGCCACCCTAAGATCAACGGTGACATGATGGACCGCTCTGGCAACAAGTTGATCCTTGACCCCATTGAATATGGAATGGAATGGCAAGTTCGTGACACGGATCCCAAGCTCTTCCAGAACAAGAACAACTTCCCTCAATACCCCGCCAAGTGTGTTATGCCCGCTGTCTCTACCGAAGAGCGTCGCCGTTTGGGAGCATTGGTCATCTCCGAAGAACAGGCCAAGCGTGCTTGTGAAGTTGCTGGACGGCAGCAGGACCTTGACAACTGCATCTACGATGTCGTCGCTACTGGTGACTTGGAATCGGCTCAAGCCGGAGTCTTCTAAACAACGAGGACTGAAAGAAATGATGTGGTCTTTGACAACATCTTGCATGATTTTTGCACACCTATACTATTTGTGATTTGGAGAAAGCCCGTCTGCAGCAGGCCAAGACCTGTTTTTTCTATTGATAAATTAATTCATACATAGCCATAGCGGACACAGTTAAGGGATCATCAACCGTCAATGCTTCATCTTTCTATCTACTAGCTACCCTGGCTACTACCAACTGGTACTAGCTAGAGCCTGCAACCTTGCAAGTGCGGTGAAGTTAGATTTTGTGAGCGGCTGACTTCCCTGTCATTCAGTCGTGTGATCTTACCTTGTTTTTCTGGCACCACTTTCTCACTGGTCACCTTTGCAAGTGCGTCAGTGAATTACTGGAGGTAAAACAAACGCACCTTGTTGAGAAGCGCCCCCATCCAGGTGCACAAGGCGCAGCCATACAAGTCAATAATAGCCCCAGGGCCATAATTTGGATCGCTGTGATGTATGTATAATTTTGATCCACCATTGCAGCTACCGGTACGATGATACCCCACCACCAAGCTCCTCGTCCATTGCGGGTGATGGAATCTGCTGTTATCAGTATCCTCCTCTTGCTGCCAATATCGGCTTTGGGATTTTCTGTTCCCAACAACAATAACGAGCCATCGTCTTCTTTTTCTCTGTTTGATCGATTTCGGCCCGAATGTCCCGCAGTGCCAAATTCCATTCGCCAATTTGATCCATCTCTGCCATTGCCAACCGAGGATGATGCAATCTGGGTGGCCGTGTTTCGCAGTTCCAACAATGCTCCTTCGGTCTTTGTCAAGGATGAATTCTTGAATGCTATGCGATTGGCCACGGGTGGCGTCACCGAAACGCTCTCGTCGTCGGAATCAACAGATGGATCATCGGTAAAAAACGACGGCGACGACAGCAATAAATTGCAAGTGACACAACCACAACAATCATCATCATCATCGGGGCCAACAACACCAGTAGCAGTCGCACGATTGTGTCCATCGCAAGATTTTCCAGGCACGTGGACATTGGATCACATGCGATGCTCCTTGAAAAAGGAAACGACCGATGATGCCTGCGAAGGAGGCTCGGAACACAAAGAAGCCTTGTCGGTGGCCATGGATTCCTTGCTGTTGCACTATCTCAACAAACCTGACTTTTTCTGGGAAGGAGCCATTCGCACCAAAGCGACATTGGTCGGTGCTTCCTTGTTGGAAGAACGAGGATTCCAACCTGTCACGACGTTGGCCAAGGACATGGCCACTCATGTATCGTCCTTGGATGCCTCCATGGAAAAGTACGCCGAAAAATACGTCGAAACCATGAGTAGCACGTCCAAAAATCAGGGAGCCCGGGATCGAGCCAATGAAATATTGTCCTTGCTGGGACGATTAGATCGGGAGGCCGATTTACGAGCCGCACAAGAACGACAACAACAAGCATCATCCTCCACAGATGGTGACAGTGATGAGGATTATGATCCATGGGCGTCAGTGAAGCAGTATCTGTAGCGGTTCTATTTTAGTTTTTGCTAGCTATGCTCTTCATTTTTTTTTCAGTAGAAGGCATCTTCCGTGTGACTTTGCTAGGTGTTTACAAAGGATGCACATAGCCAGTACTTCGTCGTCCACGGATTGCATCGTAGTAAAACCAGAAAAGTTGTATAGAAATATCTGACATGAAGGATGGCAGCAGGAAGACTCTAGGAGAGTCTCTAAAAACTGTTTTCTACCTTGACATAGCCAAGCACTTACCGTACACAACTCTTGTTTGCTGGATAAATTGCAGCCAGCCAAAAGCTCCTTTCAGTCCTGCTCTTCACTCATGGACATCCTGGCTAAGTCGAGTCAGTTGCTACTCGTGTCCCCGGCCATACCGGTACCACCCCGTGTATGAAGATAGATGTTTGGTCCCTCCTCTGGCCAAACAGACACCAAATAATTGAGATATGAATGTGAAATGCCCTGCTGCATTTGGACTACTAGTGCCTCCAGGGCCCCCGTTTCAACTACACCTCAGTTGATAGCTGCTACACTACGAAAGTTGTATACGATGCACAAATGCTACCTTATTATTAGGACTAGTAACACTCTGACACGTTAAAAAACCTGCTCAACTCAACAGCCAGCCCCAACCTGGCCCAAATAAATACGAATAAAGGACGCTGGGTATAATGGCAATCCTAATTCTCATCCTGATAAACCCAACCAGGACAGCCGATTGCCGGCAAGTTCTCCTGTGGGGCCGCACAGCTGGCCATCTTTTCATCCCAAGTGTTCATGACGCAGTACCACTCGCCATCCCTGGTCCTGTCAATGACACTGCTCTTGGCATCCATGATTTTCAAGATGGCCCTCCACTTGCCACAGCTCTGGTTGCAGCAACGGACCCATTCATGGGGTTCCTTGGATGTTGCATTGGCCCGTTTGCGTCCACGGGTCAAAGTGGGTTGTCGTGATTCATAGGCTTCATGGCATTGTAGGCGACGTACCCAGACACGAAGATGTTTGCGAGTGCGGGCATCGGCTGCACTTTCGGGCGTGTTTGGAGTCTCATATTCTTCTTCTGGCGCGGAGCACCGGGCACGATCCGGATCGTTTTTGTTCATGGAACAGTACCACCTAGAAGGAAGCTTTTTCTCATCTACTACGCCACGAAGACGGCGCCACTTTTTGCACTTGTCACACTCCACCCAGGTGGCATTGCTGGATCCACTCGTTTGTCCAAAGATGGATCCTCCATCTCGATCATCAAATTCATCTGTCGTATCATCGGCAGCAGTCACTCCCATATTTGGATTGACAATGGCATCGGCTGTACGACTGGTCTCCAATGGTGCCTCATCAACAGACGACATGCGGCTGAGGTCATCTGCGCCACCAACGCCGCCACCACCAATAGCCGCAGCTTCCTTGCGCTTGCCCTTTTTCTTCTTTTTGCGTCCTCCACGGCGATTGTCATTGTCGTCTTCATCATCATCACCAGCGCCACCACTAGCTCCTGCAGCACCACCACCAGGTTTGGGCGTGACAACGTTTCCAGCACCACTATTCAACCGTTCCATCCACAAATGTTTGCGCATAGCTCCCATGAGAGCCGAACGGTCCATTCTCACAGTTTCCCCACGGTATGCGATACTCTCCTCATTGTCGGTATCCGTGTCCACAATGCTTCCATTGGCAGTGTACTGGTCTTCTTCCAAGACACGGCGCATCTGCTCATTGACAGCCTTTTGAGCTTCGGAAAGGCTGTCCGAGCTCGGCTGCTGTACTTTGGCCACAGCCGCCTTTTTGCGTGGCTTTTTGCGACTATTATCAGCAGCAGCAGGAGGAGGAGGAGGCTCACTGGTGGGAGGGGCACTGCTACTGCTAGCTTTGCTCTCTTTTTCTGGATGCTGCATACAGACAGTTTGACAGATAGATAGAACCGCAAACAAAAGGAGTCAGACGCGCTAAAACACCGTACCATGAAAAAGGAATTTGTAGAAATACAACCAACTGCCTACCTTCTCTTTGTGCTTCTTCTTGACTTTCTTGGTCTTGCGAGTGGTGGATGGTTCCGCAGCTGGGTCTTCACTCATACTAGACGGCACTGGTGCTCCATCTCCAGATGCAGCCGCCGCTGCTGCTTTGCGCTTACTGGGCTTTTTTCGTTTGGTCTTTTTGGAAGCACGGGGTTCTGGTGGCGCAACCACTCCTTCTGGCGCCATGGCAGCGGCATCTTGGTGGTGCGAAGGAGATGTCCGAGGAGACAGCGCGGCCTCTTGGGACACCATGCCTTTCTCTGACATGATTATCGGCGGTCGTCGGTCGTCTGATGAGGGATGAGGGATGAGCGATGAGGAAAGGACGTCAAAGGAATCCTTATAATGTATTTCTGGGAACGATGTTGATGTTGTCGTCAGCAGCTGTTGTCTGATAATGAACAACCCAAGTGTGTTGTGGCACAATGATAGTCAATACTCGAGTAGTTAGTACTAGCTAGTAGTCAGTAACTGTTGTGATGGAGCATGTAGAGGATTTGTTTGGCTTTTGGCTGTTGGCTGTTTTCAGAATTCGCTGCTTTATTCTTTTCGGGACTTTCCTGGGCGCAGCCATAAGCCAGCGAGCACAGTTGGGTACAGCGTACGACTGTACCGGTACCGGTACGGGGCAAGAAGTTGTACTCCGCGTACCGGTACCGGTACCGGTATTGACTCGACTTGAAACTTGACACAACCTCTAGACTACTAGCTAGCTAGCTAGAGTACTCTACTCTACTCACTCACTCTTAACCCTCCGTGTGTTTGAAGAGGTTTGGTCCGACTTGCTTCTGCCAAGCACGCAGCCACCCCACTTGACCGAGAGGTGGACCCAAACCTCCTTGCCCACCCAACGGTGGATGCGGTGCGTCCAAAAACGCACCTCCAGCCCAGCTTCTTGCAGTAAGCTTCGAGTCGAGTCAGACCAGGAAAGATTCAGAGATCAGGGAGCATACTGTCATCGATGATCCTTGACTAAACAACCGCAGCGGGGGCCCAGCCTCCGCCACGGTAGCAAATGCAGGCAACGACATAAGGAGCCCGGTCTTCGCCACGGTAGCAAAGTGGCAAATGAATGCAGAGCCAGCTACATACATGTACGAGCATGGCACCCGTTCCCGTAGTCAGAAGAGAGGAGCTGGGAAACAAAGAGGTGGCTCAAATAATTATCGTCTGCATCACTTTGAACTCAAACCTTAACTATTATTGCATCATCCTGACATCATTCTTCAACCACGTGCTCTAAAGCCTGGTTGTTAAAAGACGGTGGCGATGAAGATGAAACAAAGAATGCATTCTAAGGCAATATGATTTAACAAGTAGTGACACACTTGTGTGGGCTCACTCATCATCACTGGAAGCGCGGGAATACCTGTTTTACATCTTCATCAGGCAGTTCCACTGTTTTCTTTTGGAAGAATGACTGAAAATAGAAGAATGACACAATCTGGAAGCATGACATAATCTGGAAGAATGGCGCAATCTGGAAGGCTCTACGTAAAAACGCGTAGCAATCAGTACTAGGTGATAATATGGAAGAATGACACAATCTGGAAGATTGCTGCAATTCGGAAGCATGACTCAAAGTGGAAGATTAACTCCACTTGCTCCTAACCAACAAAAAGGAACCCCTTCAAGAGCCCATTCCCCGCAACTCCACTGTCAATTTCAGTACAACCCTTGCAAATGAAGACCTCTCATTCATGTCAGATCAGCTTGTTGCTGTTCTTCAAAGACACCACAAGTTGCAACGTCACTTTCAAAGCCAGCTGAGAGAGCTCTGAGAGCGAGCTGAGTTTCCCGTTGGCATGGATGATGTCAGCGATACCACGAGGGCTTTCAAAGGCGCTGTCGACAAAGATAGCACAGAAGCTGAAGCCCGGGTGTCTCGTGCGGCTTCTCTTTGTCATTTTGGACAAGGCTCACAAACCATGCCAGTTGGAGTTTTAGTGTCTTTTGCTGGTACTGCTCTACTAAATTTGACTTGACTCACGCCACGGTGCATGCCGTTGATTTTGGTGCGTGAATTATTAATGCGAAGCCTCCGCAGCAACCACTGAAACGCGCAACATACCGGTCTACACAGGAGTACCAGTGCTTTCGCGGAAGCTCCTCGATTCGATCTTGCTTTGTTTCTTTTTCTTGTTGTCGTTTCATCAATCGAGGCAAGTTGAAAGTGCTGAAGCGGCAATCCTTGAAGCAACGAAAAAAGGCCCCAGCAACCACCGCACACCGCACATTCTATTCCAATCCAATCCAGTCGAAACTACAACAAGCACGGCAACCCAAACTTGACTTGTAGGTTACTCGGGCGTCGTATGTTACTAACCGAAGCCAACTAAGTCTTGTTCCTCTTTGCCATTACAAACAAACAAGCTCTCATAAACCACTGCACTGACCAATCCTGAAGAGCAGCCACCATGTCGTTGAAACGAAGCCGCCAAGAAATGTCCAAAACGAAAACCAAATCGGTGCGTGTGGTCGCCGATCCCACGGCTGTTTTTCAACACGATGATGACGCTGTTGTTGTCGCCATGACAAGCAAAGATCAAACATGGTACTCGGGTCGCGAACTGTCTTTGCAACTGGACGACGCGACGGATCCATTGGCCACTGCCATGGCCGAGGGTTTGACCATTCTTCTCAAGGACAGCTACGAACGTCCGCATGTCAACGTCCAAGAGTACTTGAACGCTTTCGTTGCCTACACGCTCCCATGCAATGGCAAAGTCGATACGTTGCGAGGTCTGGAACAACGCGTCGACTTTTCCCATCGGCAAGAACGAAGTCGCGCTCGAGCATTTCACATGCACCGCGTCTTGTCGGCCGCCGCCAAGTACCAAAACAATTGGGACGGTTTGGCGCAAGTCTCGCGACAATCATCGGCGGCGTCCAAACTCTTTGCCATGCGCATGGGACGCGCCGATGCCCGTGCTCACAATGACGAGAACCACGACAATAATAATGATGCCGCACAAGAGATCATGGCAGAACATCAACAACGAGAAGAATACCAAAGACGGCGCAACGGTCCGACCAAACTGGAGACACCATCCCTGGCCATGGCATTTGCACAGACACAACAAGCAGCAGCAGCCGTTGTCTAGCGAGAAAGAAGAACAAACACAGTCGAGTCTAGAACGTGATGAGTAAGAGTTTTGGTTGTCGAAACATAAAGAATATCTGTAGACTAGCTACACTAAACAATAGATGAGGAACGATTGTACAGCAATAGCTAATGCAGCTTCCTAGGATACTAGTAGGTGCCCGGTACGCTGTAAGTGTCGCATACGCAGTTGATTCCCACGTCGTTTCAACGTAGCCTGTGCTGTGATGGGGATAGCCGAGGCGATACTGTTGCTCTCGTCCTTGGCCTCTGTTGCCCGTCACGCCAAACTTTTGGCTTAAGCAACACCCTCTTCTGCTGAGGTAATGTACCACTGCAGAAACTCCCTTTGGTCCATCCTTTGCTCGAATAACAAAGTATTCTTTGAGTTACACAGTCTTCAGTCTGAAGAGTGTGTCCACACGGCACAATGCAGTGCAAGCATGACACTCAACAACCAGCAGCGGGCAGGAGCTGACTGCAGATGCATACACATGCAGAGAACATTTGCTGAGGTTATCGTATGAAAAGAGCTATCCTGACGGAACCCAGGAAAGTGCAAGTTAGCCGGTCCATCAAATCTCATAGCAAATCTACCCAAACGATTTGAGTAGTGTATTAGTTAATCACCACAGTACTATCCAGTCGCTCCAATCTCTTTTGCGCCTCTTTCATATTGACTGTGATGGTCCGTACTCGTCCTGTCAACTGCACTAACCCTGCTTTGGCCCCCCTTGGCTTTTGGACATCCCGACATCGTGTCATGGAAACCTTGATGGTGTTGCCGGAACACTTGGATTGTCGCGCCGCAAGGGCTGCGGCATCTTGTACCACTTCTTCGTCCATGTTCTCATCACTGCATCGAAGCACCACATGACTGCCAGGACAACCCGAGGCGTGCATCCACCAATCGGATCCATCACGGTGTTCTGGCCGAAGTGAAAGTTCATCATTGTCCTCTGCTTGTTTTCCAACCTGTAAATGAATGAAATGAAGGAGGAAAATGATGAATGGCAAAAATAAGAAGAAATGTCACGAGGTTATTGCTTTCATTCTTCAGAGTACTCCAATGTAACCAAAACATACCCTAATCTCAGTCTTGTCTTGTGTGTAGAATTTTCGATAGGGCAATCTCGTCTTGGGTGGATTTTTGGAGCGTGGCCCTTTGACCTTTTTGGGTCCCCGCGGTTGTCGAACTGGAGGTTGATCATTGACTCCCAAATCCAGTGCTAATTGAGCTAATTCTTGTGGCAAAACTTGCTTTTTGGGTCCCCCCACAGCAGCCAATTCTTCGCCCAGTTGATTGAGTCCTCTTAATCCGGTCTGCAATTCTTGCAATTCCAATTCCAGGGCATCCAGATTGGGACATGCCTCCAGCTGTTCCAGAGTAGCATTTTCATCGGCAGTCAACTTTTCCACCAATTCCTGTGCTTTTTGGACTCTGGTGGATGCCTTTCCAATTTTCTTGTAGGATCGCATACTGAGACGGTTGACTTCTTGTTTCAATCCCTTGATATCCCATTCGCTGTCCACAGTTTTGGTGGATTCTTCCGATTCGTCATCCGCATCTGCGGCTGTCATCATCAATATGGAAAATGGTCGTTTTTGCAGTTGCTTGTGGTGGTTCCATCTTTGTCTTATAGGCGATGATGCTGTTGAGAGTAGCAAATGCGCCTCATTGTGCCTGTTTTCAATCCTCGTATTCCTCCCATTGGAAGCAGCAAAGGCAGCCACCAGGACAGTGTGACTTCTTGATCGGGCCGCACCAAAGAATCGTGCAGATGGCATTGTCATCATCATCATGACAGAAAATGCAGCAACATGGCAGCGAACCATCGGGAGGGGCAGATGCGATGAGAGATGCAGTAACAAGACGGTGGGGTTTGTGCGAAGGAAAGAGTGGTGGCTGCTTGGACTGTTTGGCCGCTTGATGTCTGGATGTCTCGTTTCTCATTATTTCTTCTGGAATGTCATTGTTTGCTTCCAGGTGGCACTCGTAGGAAGGAGCAAGTGAGAGTCCTCGGAGGAACTCCACTACTTTTGCTCCTTGATCCTGGTACAAAACAGCAGTTTACATAGGCAGGTGTTGATCTCAGAGAGGGCTTGGATCTGTGCTGAGAGTGGACCGCGGAGTGCGTGTTCTGGGAGTGAGCGACGGAGCGGGTCCAGCGGGTCCAGGTGTAGGTCTAGGAGTGTTTCCGACGATCTGGTAGTTTAGGTCCAGGATTGTAGCCAGGTGTTGGTTAGTATGGGAGATGGATCTGGAGCTGGTCTGACAGTGGACCTTGGAGTATAGGCTGGTGCTGGTCTGGGGCCCCGGAGAGGGTCCATGAGATTCGAAAGTGTTGGGCTTGAAGTGATGTAGCCAGTTGTTCAGGTCTGGGAACGGGCCCTGGTCTAGCTAGGCTTATGTCCTGGAGTGTTGCCAGGTGTCTGCACAGGCTTTGAGCCATTGATCTTGAAGTTAGTTGCTCTCGCTAGCGTCGCTGGATGGTGTTGGTTCAGCTAGAGCTAGAGAGTCCTGAAGTTGGAGAGGGTTGTGGTCCGGGTTCTAATAAATAAAAACGGCGGGGATTGGAGGCATTTTAGCGTTCTCCCTGCCGACAGACAGACCGGAAAATCCACACCACAGCTTGGAAGATTTTGTTGGCTGTTGCCCAACACAATCTCGACGATGATACGCTGCTCCCCGTCAGTGATCGTATCGTCTCATCCATAGTGCTACAGTACCTCTTCTCCACTACTACAACCAACATGTCTTCGCAGCAACCTCCTCAACCACCGGCACAACAACAGCCCATGCAAATTCTGCAACCAGCTCGACAACAGCATCCGCAACAACAGGCAGGCCAGCCTCCTTCGCATCACCAACAACAGCAACAGCAACAACCACCACAGGGCCACCCCAATCAACGGCAGCACGGGGGAGGGCGTCATCAATCTCGCGGTGGTGGAAGGGGCGGGCAACCACAATATCCAAATCAAGGGCAACGTGGAAGAGGTAGAGGCGGCGGCAGGGGTCCACAACAACAGCAATTTGTCAAGCCAATTTCCCTGAATCCATCCTCCGGAATTCCCTATGGCCATGTACCCGCTTACCTTCCTGGATCTGCCAGTCTGGTGGAACAATTGGACCACCGTGTCTTGATTGTCTTGCGTGATGGGAAGCACATTATTGGGGTGAGTGCTTTATTGTTTGCAGGAGTGGATTGGTCCATAGGATGCCTCGAAACAAACTAAGAAACTCACGGATGGATTTGATTCTCTTTTCTTTTCACTGTCACTCACTCCTCTTGCAACTACTTGCTTACTTACTTGCTTGCAGGAATTCACTTCCTTTGATCAGTTTAGTAACATGGTTTTGAAAGATGCCGTGGAACGACGGTTCCATACTCCTGCTGATAACAAGGAAGGTCTGACTTTCTACTCGGATATTCCCCTGGGAGTCTATGTGATACGAGGAGACTCGGTGGTGATTCTGGGAACCATTCATGACATGCCAATCAACAACCACACCATGAAACAAGTGACTCTGGAAGAGCTTGGAGAAATGCAGGCCAAAGACAACAACAACAATAGTAACAACAACAACAACAATGAGGAAAGCACTGGACCCTTGACGTGGGATTTTGATGCCGATTTGATAGCCTAGCTAGTCATAACATATCAAGCAGCAAATCAAACAACTCACAATGAATGTATAATATGGTTACAGATGTAGGTAGCTAGCTAGTGGCAAAGATGAGATAAGCTGATACAGTTCCACATCCAGTGTAGCCAATTGTTGCACGATACGATGCCAGTTTCCAAATCCAGAAATGGTCTGGTACCATGAATGGCACCCGCTAGCTAGTGCTTGGCTGACTACATGTAGTTACGTTGCTGGTCCCAAGCGGTTGCATTGCTGCCTTAGAACTAACTGTTGCAAGGGAGTGACTACCGGGAAGCAACCACAACCAAGAATCAAAGGGCGCCATTTGAAAATAATGTACTGACCATGAATGGCATCTGCTGAGCACTGACTACCGTAGTAATGTTGATTGGTCTCTTTTTGCAACTACCGGTAGCAAGGGAGCTGAAAGGACGTCATTGAACATTAAATTTTACTGCAAGAAACTCCCGCTACGGTACTTCACTCTACAGTATTGCATTTAATTTTTACTATGAACAGTACAAGAGTGCGTGGAAGCATATTCTTTGAATGGCAGATGGCGCTTGTCTCAAAGGTTTCATCAAAACTTGCGCTGTGGGAGATTTTCAATCGTTTCCTTGCCCTAATAATAATATTTCTGTTACACGAATTGTCGTTTGGTTTGATCGGTCTCGTCTAAATTTCAATTACCCAGTAGTAGTGTCGTGCCGTGTCATCCGCCTCGTTCATCCGCCTCGTTCAATGAATTAATTGGTCAGCACCGTCCCACTGGATGGAGGGATATTAAACGACTGAGGTTCCACATTTTCCTCGGCTTCCAAAACTGCCATTTCTTCCCGCTTGCATTCCTTCTTGGCTTGTATGACGGCAATGTCTTTTCGAGCTTGATCGAATGCACTGCGAATTTTGGTCTCCTTGCCAGTGGTGTTCATTTCCGTATTGGATTCCAATTCTTCCATCAAATCGTAAATTTCAATGCCAAAGGCTTGTTTGCGCAATTTAATCTCTCGATCCAAAAATACAATGTCGGTCTGATAGAAACAATAAAGAAAGGAGAATATTAGAATTGATGAGATGCAAACATACTGGAGAAACCGAGAAACTCAAAGATGACCATACGCAACACAGAAATTCAAAAAGGACGAATCAAAATGGACGATTGATTCAATCTTGCTCCATCGATCCACCCATCAAGAAGAGTCCTTGGATCAAATTTTGCTTGCTACCATACTCTACGCTGGGACTGACTGACCTTGAGCATGGTTTTGGCACCGGCATCTACCATGGATTTTCCGGCCTTCTTTAGCCGCTCCATCATTGTCACTTGCCCACTCATCGTTCTTTCTTCTGGTTTGTTTATTATTTGCCTTGGTCCAAGAGCAGCACAGAGCATTGTCTTCTCCACGATCCTTCGCCTTGGGAGTGATTCGAAGATGAATGAGTGAGAGCACTTCCGCATGCCGCCAGCGAGGGCGCGCACACGAGTCCATTTTTCTAAATGTATCATTGTTCGTGCCAACAGCACGCGTTTGCTTACGCTAACGGTCGGATCACAAAGCAGATTATCACGTTTTGCGGGAGTCGAGTGAAAATAATCGGAAATGTTGGAAAGAGAATCGAAGATGAATCGAGTGACAGTCGAATTCAAGCAGTTCAAACGTGCATCAGCCGTGCACCTCACCCCTCTTTCCGCACCCTTTCTTCATTTTCCCCTTCTTTTGCTCACAATCTTCATTTCAGCAACACGAAACCAAACCACGATAACCAAACAACTATACAAGTAACTTAAAAGAATACTATAGACTTTAGCTAGACTTCATGTTTCTATCGATAGTTCCAACGCCGACGTTTGATCACGTCGAGTTTGACTTTGAGGAATACGTTTCGAAACATGGAATTCCAGAGACCCGTGATCCTCTACCGTTCAAAAAACAGAAGTCTTTGTTTGGCAATCATGATTTAGAGAAAGAGTCCTTGTTTACCAGCGCTAAACACGATCCTCGCCTAAGGACCGTGGTTTGTCGCCACTGGCTGCGTGGGCTCTGCATGAAGGGATCTTCTTGCGAATTCCTTCATCAATATGATCTTTCCAAGATGCCCGTGTGCCATCGCGGAGACCAATGCCAACAGAAAGACTGCTGCCCATTTCAGCACCCTAGCAAACGCCCCGAATGCACATTTTACAACCAAGGTTTCTGCGTCCGTGGAGCTCATTGCCGTCACGCACACATCAAGAAGGATAGACAGGATCTGCCCATTGTGGCCGATTTTACGCAGCAAACAACAGTAGCTTCAGCCAACAAAATAATGTTACAGCCACATCACTCTACTAATTCTCGAACCCCTACTGGTACTAATGGCCTCTACAAAACTAGTCTTTGCAAGCATTTCATGCGCGGGTCTTGTCCCTACGGGGCAACTTGCCATTTCGCACACGGAGAGTCGGAGCTCCGAAAGTTCGTCAACAGGCCATCATCACAAGGCGCACATCAAGTCCCAGGCAAGCAGATTCCAAAGAAACGACCAAGAGCCGACACCTTTTCTTCACGAGCATCATTACAGTATTTCAAGACCTTTGAACAGAGACCAAAATAGATAATGAGAGCATACAGAATGTCGGCTGGCTACAAACACCCTTTTCGCATTCTGATAAGTAGGGTATCAGAAAGCGTTAACATGCTCTTGCAGGTAGATTTATTGATAGTTTTGCCCTGCCCTTATTAAAAGTGTAAAAATACTCGAATATACTTGTATTGAACAGAAATAAACCATACCAGAATCGACAGCATCAGTGTTACCGTACAGTACTACCTGTAGCAGCGCCAGTACAGCCAAAGTAAAAAATATAAATCTTTAGAAGCATAAATACATAAATACTAATAAAACTTCAATTCAAGTAAATCGCGTCCTTTCGTATGTGACCGGGAGTCGTGTTTTGAATCTTGAGGAAGCCTCAGGATCCTTATTGGAACGAAGTTTTGTTCAAAGTTTGTTGGCACCTTGCCACATAAAGCACACAAATAATCACCATCGCAACAACTCAAAGAATGAAGATACCAGGAAAGTGTTTGTGTGGGGCAATCCAATTCTCCGTCGTCCCAAAGGCGTTTCACTCTCATGGCTGTCACTGCTCCATGTGTCGCAGGCAGTCCGGGTCGTTGACTTTGACGGTATCGTGTCAAGGGCCTCCAGAATTTGAGAAGGGCAAAGATCTTTTGACCACATTCAAGTCCTCCGAATGGGGGGAAAGGTGCTTCTGCTCTACCTGTGGCACAAATCTCTTTCACAACTCTCCTTCCTTTGGATATTTCGGAGTCAGTGCAGGAGCTTTGGACGAACAGGACAAATTGACCTTGGAGCAAGAAATCTACATTGACCAGAAACCGAATTACTACAGCTTTCAAGGCGACCACAAAAGACTCACAGAAGCGGAGTTCTTGGCCTCGCTTGGCTCCAACGACGAGAAGGAAAAAGAATAATAATAAATGATGCCCGAAGAGCAAATGTCTCGTGGTTTTGGATTTTAAATCAGAGGAACAAAAACGCAGTCACTGTTTGCTATGCATGATCGTATGTTCACCGCCTGATAGCAGCCTTTGGTAATACAGCTTTTGGTACCGGTAGCAGACGACAAAAGCAGTAAAGTAACCAAAAGTAGAGCTTAAAATATGGAATGCTTGTGGCGTGGTGCTCTTGATGCTTCTAGATTTGCGCCGTTCCTGGCATCGTACCATAGATCAAATGTACATGTATGCTTTGCGTGTTGTCATGGTGGTAAATAAAATGCTATTGGGCTTGTGCCATTCCTTGCGTCGTGCAGCTCTTTGGCCACAACATCCCCAAATCTCAAATCGGAAACGGGCATATCGCGTTCAGAAACCTTTGGGGAGTTTTGTGTGTAGGTGTGTCGTTCCAGTGGATAAATCGAAGCCAGCTGGGTGTCGAAACCAAGATGGCTGGTGTTGCCCTTGTCCAGGGGTAGATCTAAACTCCCACCACGTAATCCACAACGTGAAGAGGTCTTTGGCAAATGGCAGCACAAACAAAACAAGATGCCATGCAACCCAGATCGCTGTCGATTCCTAGGTCCCCCAAGGACAAACTGGCTCTTACAATCTTCAACACGGGCTTCGAGCTTCGTGCTTCGAGCTCAGGAAGCCTTCGGGCGACCTGATGGCTGAGTCCCAAAGGAGGAATCCTCATGGCCACATCCTCCGTTGCATCAATGGCCCCCGGGGACTGGACAACCACGGAATGACCAATAATTGTATACCTGCGAGGGGCGAGCAAGCTGAAAGCTGTAGGCAACTGCGTCAATGCGCTGCTGAGCTCTTGTTGCTTCAAATGAGACTGTACTTTGGTAGTCCCCTCTCGGCCAACGGCCAAGAATGACCGAAGAATCCAGACAATCGTCGACCCGCCATCTCAGAAGCAAGTGAGGCTTTCCACAAGGGGCACTTTTTCATAACACAATTGTCCGGATGTCTGGGGCGTAGCCACTGAGCAAGCTTCAGGTTCGTCCGATCTTGAGGCTGACCAGGAAAGGGTCAAAGTGATTCTTGGAATCAAAAAGATTGCCGGACAGCAGTGCCTTGGGCCACCCGAGGACTCGACTCTTTGCTGGTGGGTTTCCAGCATCTGTTGAAGTCCGAGAGAAGGGCAAAAGGCGTCACTAAGATAAGCAATCGTCGTCTATGGCTGGTGACTCCCAAGCCAACCATGGATTGCTTCCATTCATTCAAAGCTCCCAACCATGGGATCAGGTACCAGATTTGCAGCCCAGCCATTTCCCACTCCTGATCCATGGGCCGTGACCTTTGCTGGTAGCCCTTTGATAGTCTGTCTGATGTTGATTGGCTCCCAACACACCGGTACTTTGCCAAGGAGGGGGGCATGGATGGTATTCGAACATGCAAACCACCAGCCAGCCATGCAAACCACCACCCAAGCTACCAGCAACACCTGGACCAGAGATGGCGCCAGCAGGGACGCTTTCGCGAGGGTAACCAAGCCCACCCGTGGTCACCGAGCCCGCTCCGTTGGCGGACGTGTTTTGGCATACTTTGTCGTGGTGATCATACACTGTGTAGTACCATTCAAAACCAGAAGATCTTTATTGATTGGTTTTACCGGTAAGCACATCCAGATCTTAAGATTTACGGTGTCTGGTACCAGGTACCAGTACATTGCTGTACGGTGAACCTCGTAAGCTGATGAAGCGAGTCAGTAGCGATGATGCGATGATCCACCAAAAACCGAAGCCGTACTGCATACAACAAACGCGTATTTTTAGCATTGCTTCTTGCATGCAGTCGACATGACGACAGAAGAAACACGGTGGATGAGGCCCTCCGCATCAGCTGCACATTCTTTGATGCCGCAATAATGTGTGCCATCGTCAATTATCGCTGCTCCAGCATACGATGTACCTGGTACCGCTATCATGAACCGAAACCACGATGGCTGTTGGCTAGTTGGCCCTTGGTAGGTAGGTTGTGTGCTGCTGGGGTTGTAGAGTATCTTCAACCCGGTCGTAAAACCAGACATGTTTTCCATAGAGCTCACCCATTTGCATCAAATGCATCTTTCCGTTGACGTCTAGTGCGGCAACACTCTTGCTGTTGCGGATATGTGCGCCACAATTATAACCAGCCACAATCTCAAACCAACAAGGCTGCGGTAGCGAGACGCTCACACAAAGCGATGATCATTTGCCCGTCTTTGTTGGATTTCAATGGTGGAGACGTGATCATTTCCTTTGCCGCTATACACGTATCTGGTGTTGAATGTTTTCTCACACACAGAAGAGCGTTGAAGACCTGCGGTTCTCGGTTGCCCGTGCGTACAACAGATATAGATGCACTTCTGTCTTGCTACAACCTTCGAATGAAGCTGCCTTTGTGGATTGGTACGTGGGGTGGGTAACATGCCCTCTTGTGATTGCATTCCTTCAGTTTCTTTTGCCGGGTAAATGAGATGGACGAAACTAACCCTGCATGAACTTTGGGAGTTCTTGCCACAAAGTCTTCTGTGAGTGCGATCCACAATCGGATAGTTCCTATCTCTCTGAACGTCTCCGAGCCGGATGCCAAGGTTGGTCGCTGATTGAAACACCGTCCTCGAGTGATGTTGCCTTCAATTTGTTCACTGAAAAGGTTTGGTGTGCATCCAGCCATACAGGAAAGGCTTTGCGTTTGAATGGCCTCTGCTTTTGTGTGCTCCATAAGAGCAGAGAACTGCTCAAGCGCGAGGTCTTTCCTGTGTGGCCAACTGTGCACATCATCCATGCAGTTCCCTGCTGAAAAGGAAAAACTTTGTGCTGAATGGCCTTTGCTTCTACATGCTCTGTACAAGCAGAGAGCTCTTCAGCGCGAGGTTTTTCCCTCTCAGTCAGAGTGCACAGCATGGATGCGGTTCCCTCTGTTGGAACTGATGGGGGAATATTACTCTCTCTGTGTTTCCCTTTCACCAACAACTGACTCTGTTTCTGATGGTTGCTTCTGTTTGGGGACACAGGCTTCGCACGCAGTTTGGGGAGGTCCCAAGCAAGCAACGACATGAACAACAACTCGAAGCGCATTCTCAACATTGGATTTGCTTCCAACAAGATCGTCCTGTGGGCCTGACGCTTGAATGAACCATTGGTGCTAGAGTATCCATTTGCTTCTCCAGCCAGATCCATACGGTCTTTTGCAGTACAAGCTGCTGGGTCCCGAACGCAGAAATTTGCGCCCATATGATTCTCCAAAGGCCAGGGACAACAATCAGTGAGGAAACCCGCAGGTAGCTGGACTATCAACGCAGTGGGATTTCTCCTCATGGATCCAAAACCAAAGCTCCAACTCGGAAGACAGCTTCGCCCGACTTCGAGATGTGTCTGTGTGTGGCCGAGACTTGGGATGATGTCGTGCGCCTGCACATTGAGTGGAAACTGGTGCAGTTGGCTTTTTGGCTTTTTGGATCCACTCGCCATTGGCAAATCGATTGCTGCTACTTCGGCGCTTGGCGACGGCCGAACAGATTGAAGCTTTGTCTACATTCGGAAAGATGGCGAAGATATCGAGTGGCCAAACCATTGCAGACTACAACTGTACCTTGGGCCGACTCTGACTCATCAGCATTCACTGGCAGTTGTCAACATGGCAGCCATGGAGCTGCTGCGATGTACCACATGTTTTGCGGCTGCAGCAGCACGAAAGCCTACCAATACGGCTGTACGTGTAGCGTTAGCTTGGGTGGTGGCTGTGAGATCGTTGTGGCGGAGCTCGGTGGACTAAATCTTTTGATCCTTGGCGTTAAGCCTTCTGCTGCCTTCTCATGTAATAGCCTTTTTTATCTACTGTCCTCACTATTACCGCTCCCCCCCCCCCCTTTGCATAGCTACTCTATCTAGCTAAAGGAGCACAATGGGGATAGAACAGTTCTAGCAGAAGTATCAAACAGCAACGAGCGGAAGAGAGAGAAGCTGATTTCAATCGAACCAACTAACTGATTGAATCATTCTACTAGGGGAATGCTGCGATGGCGGTGGTGACTTTGGTGGGATGGAACCGCACCGGGAAATGCTGGTGTAGTAAACTTGTTTACTGGTGCACAAAGCTTTCTGGCTCGTCCATTACCTCCCTCGTGGCCAGCGGAGGGCGACGAACAGATCTCTTCTACCGGTTCGTACGGTACAGGCTAGCTAGCTAGCTGCTCTAGACCCAAGTGCACCTTGAAAAGGAGTGAAGCTCGCAGCGCAGATGCTCCCCATTATTGCTTTGAATGATGATCAGCAATGAAAAAGGCTTAACAGACCACTCTATTTGGTGTCTCCGTACGGTACATGTATATGTATTGTGGCACTACGTACCAGTAACGGCAAAACGCTCACCACTGGAGAAACAACCATGCCTTCTGTAGCCACCGGAGTTTCGAAGTGTCTCCTCAAGCAATGGTCTTTGATGCAGCTACGATGAACATGGTGTGGGAGTTTGACATGCCCCCAACCAAATTCATGTGAGCATCCTCCTGGCGCTTGGACACAAATATTGGTCTGACTGAGAAACTTTTACCATCCTTTGTCCGTTCCTTCTTGGTGATGCTGATGGGCCGTTCCTACTGTATGATCCGCAGCTGGCATGATTGAGGATGCCGCGACAGTGACCGGACGACGAGAAAGGCAAGTGTGGAAGCCGCACACGCCCCTTGCGGTATCCTCGCTACATCACGAGGCACCCATCATCTGTCCTTCTTCGGTGTCATCTTGCTTTTGAATTGTTGCGCCTCCATGATACCGCCCAGGGAGAAGCACCTATCTTCCTCATTTCAGGCGATGAAACGAGGAAGAGGCGGCGAGGCGCGAGGAGGCGCTCTGCTGCCCCTGAGAACGACATGAAGCTGCGGGGCCGTTTTGGCAGAGATGCGGACTTTTGATGGCAGAAGATGCGTTGGCGGACTGCGCCCTATCTGTTTTGGGCCAGGGTGTTCTTGCCCTTCT